AATCAAAGCTGGTCCCATCATCTCCTTTCTTTCTTTTCCTTTCTGTTTTGTGTTTTACTGAATTTGGTCGGTAAGAAGATGCCAGGTTCAGGCGTGCGGGTCTGCGCGGAGGGTGGGCGCGGAGGCTCCTGACGCCACCCCTGTCCCCGCGGCCCCTCCCTCACCCCGTCGTTTCCAGTGTTGATGAGGTTCGGGTTAGCGATCTTTTTCCTTCGTGGTTTCTGTTTTCTGCTGCCCTTTCTGTTCCTGTTTTTGGATAATTCAAACGTGTCCTCTCGGGAGAACTCGTGACCCGGAGAGATGCGAACGTGTGAGCGAGGGTGCGCCTCCTCCCCTGCCCTCTGCGGTGAGAGCGCGGGCGGTTGGACGCGGCTCCTGCCCTCGCCCTTCTGCGGTCAGTGCCGGGGTCACCACCCTCCCACGGGAGCGCGGTCCCGGGTGGCCTGTGGTGCTCTGCCGACGCTTTCCGTGCGGGAGTAAAAGCGCTCCTCCCGCCGCGGAGCGAGCGGCGCCCCGACCTGTATTCTCTGCGTCAGACTCCGTCGCGGCGCCCTGCGTGCGTCCTCTCAGTGCGCCGCGTTGCCGGGCGCGTCCCGCCCTGTGTTCGGGAGAGGCGTGTGGGTGCGTGTTTGTGCGCACGCCCTTCCCTGTGGTCTCTCCTGCCTCAAACCTGCACCTGGAGAGCGGCCCGTGGCCTCGGAAACGCGAGGACCTCGGGGCCCCGCCCAGCCGCGGGTGGCCGGGGACTTCCTGGGGCGTGTGCACACCCCCGCGCAGGTGGCCTGGGCAGGCACCGTGGAGGCAGGGGGCCTGCAGACCCAGAGGGGCTGACTTCAGAGCCATGCGGGCTCTCCCGGGCAGGGCTGTGCAGTGGGGCCCAGGGCTGGCGACCTCTGTCCCCTGGCTCTGCGCCGCCATCCGCAGGGGATTGTAGGGGGGGCGGGGGCCAAAACCTGGCTTTTACTCGATCCTGCAGTTTCTGGTGGAAACGGATTCAGAATGGAGGCTGGAATTGCGGAGTCTTCTTTCTTTCTTTCTTTTTTTAAAATATATTTTATTGATTATGCTATTACAGTTGTCCCATTTCCCCCCCTTCACTCCCCTCCACCCTGTACACCCTCTCCCACCCACATTCCCCCACTTTAGTTCATGTCCATGTGTCATAAGTTCTTTAGCTTCTGCATTCCCCATACTATTCTTGCCCTCCCCCTGTCTATTTTCTACCTGCCATCTATGCTACTTATTCTCTGTACCTTTACCCCCTCTCTCCTCCTCCCACTCCCCTGTTGCTAACCTTCCATGTGATCTCCATTTCTGTGGTTCTGTTCCTGTTCTAGTTGTTTGCTTAGTTTCTTTTGATTTTGCTTTAGGTGCGGTTGTTCATAATTGTGAGCTCGCTGTCCTTTTACTGTACTTGTTTTTTCTTTTCTTTTCTTAGATAAGTCCCTTTAACATTTCATATAATAAGAGCGTGGGGATGATGAACTCCTTTAACTTGACCTTATCTGAGAAGCACTTTATCTGCCCTTCCATTCTAAATGAAAGCTTTGCTGGATAGAGCAATCTGGGATGTAGGTCCTTGCCTTTCATGACTTGGAATACTTCTTTCCAGCCCCTTCTTGCCTGCAAGGTTTCTTTTGAGAAATCAGCTGACAGTCTTATGGGAACTCCTTTGTAGGTAACTGTCCCCTTTTCTCTTGCTGCTTCTAGGATTCTCTCCTTCACTTTAATCTTGGGTAATGTAATGAGGATGTGCCTTGGTGTGTTCCTCCTTGGGTCCAACTTCTTTGGGACTCTCTGAGCTTCCTGGACTTCCTGGAAGTCTATTTCCTTTGCCACATTGGGGAAGTTCTTCTTTATTATGTTTTCAAATAAGTTGTCAATTTCTTACTCTTACTCTTCTCCTCCTGGTACCTCTGTGATTCGGATGTTGGAGCGTTTACAGGTGTCCTGGAGGGTCCTAAGCCTCTCCTCACTTTTTTGAATTCTTGTTTCTCCCTTATGTTCCAAATCCTTGATTTGAGTCCCGGCGTTTCCCCTCGACAGCCGGTTCCCTGTGGATGTTTCTGCACGTCACATGGTGGGACTCCCCTCCCCTCCCCTCCTTCGCGCGGTTGCTGTGCCCAGTGAGCGCCCCGAGCGCGTCCCGACGACCGGTGCTCAGGACTCTGCGACCGGCAGGCGCTCGCCTCCGTTTGTTCCGTTCTCTTCCCGGAGTTCTGTTCTGTTTGCTCATCTGGGCCACGATTCTTTGTGTCCCGGTTCCGGCAGCCTTGAGTTTTGCTCTGTGTGTCCGGTGGAGCCGCTCTGACTCCCCGTCTCGTCTCGGAGAAGGCCCCTGTGCCTTGTGTGGGGTGGGCCCAGCGCCGCAGGCAGCCTGGCGAGGGCAGCCGCGCTCTCTGGTGACCTGGGAGCGGCTCAGGGCGTGTGCGCGCTCACACGTGCCCGTGCAGTGCGGCGGGGTCACTGAGGCAGAGGTGCCCGAGCCAGGTGGAGCGCACTGGGCCCTCCCCCTGCCCTGGGGAGAGGGGCGGGCGAGCCCGCGGCGCAGCTCGCTCGTCCTCAGCAGACGGCGCGTGCGTGGGGAGCCAGTTTCCAGCCTGCGTCGCAGCCACGCCCCTCGGTGCTGTCCCTGTGGGGTACGCGTGCACTCCCGGGCTTCGTGTGCGCGTCGTGAGCAGGCTCCGCACGCCGGCTCTGCTGTCCCCGAGGCGACACCCTGTGTCTCGGGGGCCTGTTTGTGACGGCCGAGTGCCGGCACTGGCGCGGAGTTGTTGACCACGCCTCCCGTTCTGTTTGGGTTTCGCCGGTGTCCCCCTGAACGCCTGTTCGCTTCAGGGACCCGTGCAGCGCCCCGCCACACCGCTGAGCCACCGCTATCCTCCTGCCCCCTCCCCCGGGGCAGCGTCTCCCGCCGCCCTCGTTGTTGGGGCTCTGGACTGTCTGGGGGAGTGCGGGTCAGTGTTCTGTGGCCTGTCCTCCAGTTTGGCCTTGTCCGGTGTTTCTCACGGTCACCCTGGGGCTGTGGGTTTTGGGAGGACAGCTGGGCCCCGTTTTGGCTTCTAAGACCACTCTACCATCAAACAGACCCGGGCTCCTGGAGTCACGGTGACGCTGGCCAGGCCTGGGCAGGGAGAAACGAGGACGAGCCTGGAGCTCCTCGCGCCAGAGAGGAGGGGCGGGGTGGGGCGGGGCGGGGGAGGTACGGGTCGCTCGTTCCACCTACTCGCGCCTCACCGGCTGACCCTGTGTGCGCCCGGCCGGACCCGACCCGCAGACCCGCAGCCTCGGTGCGTCGGGACAGCGCTCCGACCAGCCGAGCTACCTGGCCGGGGCCTCGAGCAGCTCTTCCTCTGGGGCGTGTGCCTCCCGGTGACGCTTCCCTCTGTTGCTCTTGATTGTCCCTGTGACTGTGGCCCGGAGCCTTAAGGGCCTGAAATGGGTGTCTTTAAACTCCTCTGACCGATGGAAACATTTTGCTTTGATTTTTTTCATGAACTGAAGTCCTGCCTTCTGTGGTTTTCCTGCTGCTGTTTAAACCTCCTGCCCCTCCCCGCTTTTCCCCTTTCCGCAAAAGAACTGCCCGCCCTGGCTGGTGTGGCTCAGGGGCCTGCAAACCAAAGGGTCACCGGTTCGATTCCCAGTCAGGGCACAGGCTTGGGTTGCGGGCCAGGTCCCCAGAAGGGGGCACGTGAGAGGCAACCACACATTGATGTATCTCTCCCTCTCTTTCTCCTCCTTTCCCCTCTCTAAAAATAAATACATAAAGTCTTCAAAAAAAAAAAAAAAAAAAGAGCTGCCCTCCCTTCCCTTTCTCTCAGCCACCAGTGTCACTGCACAACTGTGACACTGACCTTCCTTGTGCCTGGGCAGGACTTCCTCTCATGTAGCTGTGACTTAGGCCTGTTCACGCCCCAAGAGCTTTGCTTTTCCAGGCTGGTTCGAGGGACGAACTTGCTCTCATTTCTTACTAGGTCTGGGGGCTCTGCTCTCCGTCGCCCTGGGCGGTGTCGTTGCGGAAGACCCCGGGGAGCTGCTGGCTAGGCCTGCGACTTTCTCAGGAGAGGCCTGGGCTGGGGGGGGGGGGGGTGGTGCCGGGCATCTCTGACCAGTTGCCCTGTGGCCTTGCTACTGCGGGCCCTGGCCTTCCCCACCACACCCACCCTCCGCCCTCACCCCAGAGGGCAGGTGTCCCATGACCTCGCCCCCTCTCCTCTCGTCTTGTCACCGGGCCAGCCCCCCACCACCATGACAAGGCACAGTTGCTCAGAAGCCATCCCCCCGCCCCCCGAGTGCCGGCAGCCACACTACAGGCAGAGTGGAGGACGGTGGCTCAGCTCAGCAGTCGCCACTGTTCTGCTGACGGTGTTCGGTGTGGCCCTCCCCTCCCCGCCCTTCCCCTCTCCTCTCTCACCATCCGTGCCTGCAGCTGGCCCGCCCGCGGGTGGGCACACAGGGGCCCTGTTCTCCCGTCTCTCCGGCTTGGGGCGTCTGCCCGTGTCGCCCCCTCCCCTGCGGAGTTCAGCTGCACTGGTCCCCCCCCACCCCTCCCCTCCGCCTCGGCTTGTCCCCGTGCTCCGTGCTGGCTTCTCTGGGACCCGTCTCAGGGCTTTGTCGTAAAGCGGCCCCCGAGAATTCACTGTCCCTCCTGCATGTCACCCAGGAGAGCCACAGCCTGCAAACGTTCAGAGACAGCTCTGTCCACGGGGGCTGTGTGCTTTGGAAATGCTCTTTGGAAGTTCTGTTGCTTTTACTCTCTGGCATTCATTTCAACTGCTGTCATTTCCCCACAAGGCAGTTCAGACCTAAGCCAGAAAAGCGGTGAGACTGGCCTGCACAGGAAACCCAGGAACGGGGCGGGAGTCAGCCCGCCAGGGCAGCGGATCAGACGCACGCGCGGTCACTGGCCCGCGCCCGCAGCTGGGAGGGCTCGTCCGCGCACTGGGTGCGGGCGCCCGCGCGGGCCCCGCGACGAGGCGCCTGACGCCGTGCCGTTGCAGGATGCACGACAACATGTCCACCATGGTGTGCGCGAAGGAGGACAGGCTGGAGAAGCTGACGCAGGACGAGATCATTTCCAAGACGAAGCAGGTGATCCAGGGGCTGGAGGCCCTGAAGAACGAGCACAACTCCATCCTGCAAAGTCTGCTCGAGACGCTGAAGTGTCTGAAGAAGGATGAGGAGAGCAACCTGGTGGAGGAGAAGTCGAGCATGATCCGCAAGTCCCTGGAGATGCTGGAGCTCGGCCTGAGCGAGGCGCAGGTGAGGGGCGGGGCCGGGTGGCCTGGGGCCGGACACGGCAGCCCCAGCAGCAGAGGCTGGCACGGCCGGCAGTGGGCGGGCTGTCCCAGGCGGCGCCTCCTGGACCGGGACAGGGCGCCGGCGCAGCCACGCCACCCCGTGCCGGGACGGAGGGGACAGGAGGGCGAGCCCGCCTTCTCCCTTCACTTCCTGCCCTGTGCGTGTGTCGCACTCTGCTCGCTCTGCGGGCGCAGGGCTCCGGTGCTGGGCCCCACCTGGCATGGGGAGGCTGGGCCATGCCCTCCCGCCCACTGAGGGCGCAGGTCCTGGAGCCCGAGGGAGATGGGGAGTCGGTGTTGGCCAGGGCTCTCGGCGTGCCCGGGCCAGGCTGCGGTGTGGGTTCCACCGAGCCTCTGCTTCCTCCTGGCTGACCTGGAGGCCGAGACTAGGCACGCCCAGGTGTCCCCCTCGCCTCTGGGCTCTGCCAGCGTATGTTAGGTAAAACCAAACACACCGGAAATTGGCTCCTCTCTTCCTTAGCTCTCTCTCTGAGTGAGGGAGTGAAGCGGCAGCTGGCTGTGGGCCCCCCCCCCCCCGCCTTAGGGAGGAGCTCTGCGCACACCAGAGCGTCCGCACCACACGTCAGTCGGAGCTCATCCGAACCCTGTGCCAGGCGCACGCTGGCCGGATCCCTGGCTGCGCACCTGCTGCAGCGCACGTCCTGTTGTTGAAGGGCGGTGGGGGCGGGGACGTCCTCTTCAGTCTTGCAGACGTCAGGGCTAAGGGAAGAAAGAGCCCCACTTCTGGAGGCTCAGGTGTGCCTGGGAGGGTGAGGAAGGGGCAGGGCAGGGGTGAGGTTGAAGGAGAAGAAGACTGGGCGAGCCCACTGCCTCAGCTCCTGCCGTGGCCCCGCCCCCAGGACCTGGCGGCAGGCGGAGTCCCGGCCGCTGCCGTGGCAGTGGCAGGCCCTATGCTGGCGAGAGCATCGTGGCCTGGGACCCTCGGTGCAGCTGCCAAGGCTCCTTCCCTTTGCGTGCCCCGCCTGCCCCGCCCTGCCCAGCGCTGCTCCGGCCCCCAGCAGAGCGGCCTGCACGCGGCGCACACTCATGGGCGTGCGCACACTCATGGGCGTGCGCACAGGCGGGGATCTGGGTGGGAGGGAGCCGTCTCCTTGGACAGTGGAAAGACGGCGTCTCCAGGTGAGAGGCCGTGTGGCCGCGGCGAGTCCTGTGACAACACTCGCACACACGCCTGCGCATCCGTGTCCTGTAGCTGCTCTGAGCGGGTCACGTCCTCCACTGCGTCCCATGGGGGTCGGGGCCTGGGGGCGGGTGTGTGTGCGGGCGTGCAGCGCCTTGTGCCTGCCCGCAGGTCATGATGGCCCTGTCCAACCACCTGAACGCCGTGGAGTCGGAGAAGCAGAAGCTGCGGGCGCAGGTGCGCCGCCTGTGCCAGGAGAACCAGTGGCTGCGGGACGAGCTGGCGGGCACGCAGCAGAAGCTGCAGCGCAGCGAGCAGGCCGTGGCCCAGCTGGAGGAGGAGAAGAAGCACCTGGAGTTCATGAACCAGCTGAAGAAGTACGACGACGACATCTCTCCGTCCGTGAGTGCTTCCCCGTGCCCTCTCCTCGCTCCCGCCGCGCTGCCCGGGCAAGGTCAAGGTTGGGGTCCTGGGCCCGCCTCGCTGGGCGGGTCACAGATGCTCTCAGTGCCACGTACCTATCACATGCCTTCCCCAGAGCAGCAGTCAGCATCGTGGAGTGCTCTGTAGGCAGAAGTCTGCTGCAGGGCCGGGCTCCGGTCGGGGGACGCCTCCCCCCCCCACACGCTGGCTGCCCCGGCGTGGCCCGCAGGGCCCATTCCCCGTGCCCAGCACGGTCCAGCTCCGGGTGGGACGCTGCACGAGGCTGCCGTGTCCCTCCTGGCCCCTCCGTCTGCGGCAGGTCCTCTCCAGGAGGGAAGGGCCTGTCTTCGACGCCAGAGAGACCTGTGGGGAGCGCAGCCCAGTCCTCGCCGGGTGGTCCTCCGTGTGGGTGTGTCTGAATGTCCCAACGAGGCTGCTGGGGTCACAGGCCCGGGCTTGGTGCACCTCCCGGGTGACCCCTGCTGCGGGAGGACGGCCAGCTCCCCGCTGTGTGGCCGCTGGTTTAACCTGCGTCAGGGCTCCCAGCCCGGAGCTGTCGGGGGGCCCCAGGGCCCCGGGGGGAGGCGGTGGGCCGGAGACGGGCAGCCAGCCCCCCAGCGTGGTGCGCAGAGACCGCCGTTCCCGTGCACTCACACGCTCGGTTTCCCAGTGAACACTCCAGCGAGGTCCCCGCTCTGTTCGAACGTCCTCGGAGCGCAGGCCGAGCACCCCAGGCCTGGGGAGGCCTGGCCCGCACCCCGTGGCCTGAGCTCTGGTGGAGCAGGGGTTTCCTGACTCTGCCTAGTTGTAATCCTGCATTTGATGTTAAAGACGGACCGTCTTTTCTAAGGTTTGAAAAAGTGGGATTTTCTGGAACTTTTTTATTTTAGAGCAGGGTGGGGAGCGAGAGAAACATCAGCTTGTTGTTCCCCTTACTGATGCGTTCGTCGGTTGGGTCGTGCGTGCCCCCAGCCGGGGACCAAACCCGCAGCCCTGGTGCGTCTGGACGGCGCTCTAGCCCACTGGGCTCCCCGGCCGGGGCCTGCGGTTTCTAGCTGCAGGTGAGCTGAGGCCCAAGGGCCCCGGCGCAGGAGCCCCGGCACTGGTGAGACGGGGGTGCTCTCCTTGGTTTCCAGGAGGACAAAGACACCGACTCCACCAAAGAGCCCCTGGATGACCTGTTCCCCAACGATGACGACGACCCCGGCCAAGGAAGTGAGCGGGGTCGGCCGCCCCTCTGCGGACAGACAGACAGACGGGGGCGGCGCGGACTGGGGTCTCACCGCAGCGGTCGGGGGCGCCCTCGTGCTCGAGGCGCAGACTCTCCTGGGCCACCTGTTCCCCCAGAGGCTTGCAGACCTCTTCTTGCTGGGACGTGAGACGGGCCCCTGGGCTCGGGCCGCGTGGGCCGCTCCGTGTGGCCCGGTCCCCCCCGGGATGAGAGGAGCAGAGCTCGTCCCCTGAGGCCGAGAGCAGTCTTGTGCTGGCCGGGGTCGGGGTGGGGGCGTCCTGTCAGCCCCGACAGGGGCTGGGGGTTCCGGCCTGGGCAGGGCGTGCAGGACGGGCCAGCAGGGCCAGGGCTGGGGGCGGGTCAGCCGTTGGGCTGCGCTGGAGCCCTCTGACGTGGCCTGTCTCTGCAGTCCAGCAGCAGCACAGCAGCGCCGCGGCCGCCGCCCAGCAGGGGGGCTACGAGATCCCCGCGCGGCTGCGCACCCTGCACAACCTGGTCATCCAGTACGCCTCGCAGGGCCGCTACGAGGTGGCCGTGCCGCTCTGCAAGCAGGCCCTGGAGGACCTGGAGAAGACCTCGGGCCACGACCACCCGGACGTGGCCACCATGCTCAACATCCTGGCGCTGGTGTACAGGCGAGTAGCCCTCCTGCCCCTCCAGCCGGGCCTGCAGCACACCCCTCACCCACCGGCTGCTCAGATGCGCCGGCGCCCGCCTGCCGGAGCCACTCCCCGGCCGCCTCGCCCTGTCCACGGACAGCCAGGGCTCCCCGTGAACGCCCTCCACAGGCTCAGGCGCATGGTGGGGCGCCCCGGTCCAGCCCTCCTGGGGCAGCCCCCCGTGCCCTGCTCCCTGGCCACACCAGTCCCCTCGTCGTCCCCACAAGACTGCGCCCGGGTCCCTGTGTCAGGAACGGCCTTCCCCTGCACCTGCCCGTCTCCGCCCCCCTCCTAGGGCCTTGTCAGCACCTTCTCCTCCCCGAACCCAGGAGCCCTCTTGGCTGTGTCGTGCCCGACCCTGTGTCCCTGCGCCTCTCAGGCTGCGCGTGCACCAGGGTTGTTGGGGCTCCGTCCTCCCTGCTGTCCGAGCATGGGCACCTCGAGGCTGAGGGCTGGGCGTCCTCGGGGCCGCCAGAGCCTGCTTCCTGACGTGCAGGCCCTCGGCCAGCTCGTGGGGTGGGGCTCGTTTGCTCTGGGCCCCGGGGCCCCTTGTCTGCTCGAGTCGGAGCCCTGCTGACCTGCCGTAGAGCAGGTCCGGTGGGCAGGGGGGACCTGGGGGCGGGCAGCGGTGGACGGCAGGGCCGTCTGCTGTGAGTGTTCCAGTCCATGGGGTCCGCCCCTGCTTCCCCTTCCTTCCCTGGGCTGGCGGTTCCAGTTCAGCAGTTCTGGGACCCGAGCCTGTGTGAGACTTGAGGCCGGGGCCCCGTGGTGGATGCGAGACGTCGGGCCTCAGGGGACTGCAGCCCCTCGCCCTCCCCTGCTCAGTGGCCATGGGACAAAGGACGCGGGCCGGAGACGTGGCTTCCCTGAGGCTCCGCTCCGTCCCCGTGCCGCAGCGGAGGCGGCGATGGCCCCGCTCTGAGGGCCGGGGAGGGGCCGTGGGCGGCGCTGCCCCGCAGACGTGGGACCCTCGCTGTGTTTGCTTCCAGGGACCAGAACAAGTACAAGGACGCGGCGAACCTGCTGAACGACGCCCTGGCCATCCGCGAGAAGACCCTGGGCAAGGACCACCCTGCGGTGTGTGCCCCGGCCCCCGCGCGCGCGCGTGTCCTCCCGGTGCCCTTCCCCACGGCACTCACCGTTCCGTTGACCTCGACAGGGAGGGCTCAGAGCTGCCTGTCCGCTAGATGGCGCAGGTAGGGCCCTGCCGCAGAGGCAGAGGCAGGGGCACTGGCCCGTGCGCGCCCCGCGGGGCCCGCGCTGCAGCTCTGCGTCTCACGCCGAATCGCATGCACGCCTGTAAATTCCTCCTGGAGAATTCACCCTGCTTTTCCACCGAAATCTGGGCGGACCCGCATCCAGATCTGTTTCGGTTGGTTTGGCGGTTCCCAGTGAGATTCATGAAGAGCAATCGAGACCCCGTTGATTTGGTTCTGGCCCCCGCGGCGCGCCCTGTCCTGGACACTCACCCCTCGCGTGCCCTGTGCTGCAGGTGGCGGCCACCCTGAACAACCTCGCGGTGCTCTACGGCAAGCGGGGCAAGTACAAGGAGGCCGAGCCGCTGTGTAAGCGGGCCCTGGAGATCCGGGAGAAGGTGCGTGGGGCGCACGCGGGGGCGGGCCTGGGGGCGCTCGTGCAGCCTGCCGGTGTCACGCGTTGAGAGGTGACCGCTGGGCTGTGTTGTCACTGACCGGTTACTGGACCGGACCCGTTCCGTAGGGTGGACAGCCCGCAGGGACTGCAGGGTGGCATGTGACTGGGTGGGCAGGGGTGGGCCCGGGGGGCGTGTCCACCGAGTCTGCGTGGCCCCCGCCTGCAGGGGCCTGGAGGTGCTGTGGAAGGAGGACTGGCGGGCGTGCACTGCCAGTGAGAGAGTCAGTCCCCGCGGGTGCTCACAAAGCTCTAAAAAACGAAACAGTAGTTTCCAGACCTGAGACGGGCTCCGCTGTAGGTTATGTCAGGGTCAGGGCGGGGCACTGCCGGCGGCTCCCGTCCGTGGCACTCAGGTGCTGGGAGCCGGCGCCTGGTCATCTCGGTGGCGCCTGGTGCAGTCTGTGCTGAGGCCGCCCAGGGCGCCGTTGTCACTGGGTGAGTCTCTGTGGCCACTCACCAGTGACACCGAGGGCTCAACCATTCAATGTGGGGCTGCACGGCCAGGAACTGGGGAGGGGGACGGGGGCCGCTCTCACACCCCGCAGGCCAGCCCTCCTCGTGCCGCCCTCTGCGTGCGAGTCCGGCCGTGCGGTCCGATCGCACGGGGCCGGGGTGAGGTTCAGGGAGGGCACCCGGCGGAGCGAAGCGCCACAGACCCCGTGGGTTTGCTCCAGGTGCTAGGGAGGACTCAGTGTCACTCACCCACCCACCCACTGGGGGTTGCATGGGGAGGACGAGTCCGCACTCCAGGGCTCATGCTGTTCTGGGTGAGGGTCGGGTGATGAGCCGCGCGACAGGCAGTCTCAGGTGGCGGCCCTCGCCGAGAAAGCAGGGAACCGGGCGATGTGTCTATGAGCCGACGGGGGGGCTGGGCGGAGGTCTCCCCTGACTTGGAGAGAGGGAGTCCCGTCTGGGGGGCCTGAAGGGTACCTGGCTGCAGGGTGGGGGGTGGAGGGGCGTCGGCACGTGGGACCTGGATCGCAGGGCCTTGCAGGTTTGTGTGTGACGCATGATGGACATGCTGTGTGGGAAGGTGCGTGTTGGCCGCGTGTGCAGCTGGGGGCTTCCCTTGGAGACTTGCGGGTCCAGGAGGGAGTCGGACAGGGCCGGCCGAGTTCAGGCCACTCCGGAGCCAGCAGCCGTGCCCCCGAGCCTTTGAAGGGGCCGCCTTCCCGCTCTTCAGAGTGGGACGGCGACATGCCCTGCGTGTCGGGTCGGTGAGGTTTAGGGGAGTCGCGGTGTGTGGAGGAAGCCAGCACCCCCGCCAGCAGCTGAGCGCTCAGCACACCGTGGCCGAGTTCAGTTTTAGGGTTGCTGGGCGGGGCTAGCCGTTGAAGGACCGCGCGCGAGCCAGCAGCGAGGCGAGGGGCCGGCGTCCTGGTCCTGGTCCTGGTCCTGGCACGGCCTTCTGTCCTCAGGTTCTGGGGAAGGACCACCCCGACGTGGCCAAGCAGCTGAACAACCTGGCGCTGCTGTGCCAGAACCAGGGCAAGTACGAGGAGGTGGAGTACTACTACCAGAGGGCCCTGGAGATCTACCAGACCAAGCTGGGCCCCGACGACCCCAACGTGGCCAAGACGAAGAACAACCTGGTGCGCTCGCTCGCTCGTGCGCGCGCTCTCTCTCTCTCTCTCTCTCTCTCTCCTCTCTCGCTTTCTCGCACTCTATTGTTTGCGCTGTTGCAGCACCGCCCCGGGCCCCCGGAACTGCCTTCTCTGAGGCTGACCTGACCTGTGCGTGGGCCGGCCTCGCGAGGAGGCGGCTTCGCCCGCGCAGGGCACGCTGAGCGCTGTGTTTCCTCCTCCGAAGGCCTCCTGCTACCTGAAGCAAGGGAAGTTCAAGCAGGCGGAGACGCTGTACAAGGAGATCCTCACCCGTGCGCACGAGCGGGAGTTCGGGTCTGTCGACGGTGAGGAGCAGAGCCCCGTCCCCGGGCGGGTACCTGCGTGGCAGGGCTCCACGCCGGGGTGCGGGGTGCTGTGCGCTCGGCCTTCGGAAACGACTTCCCACGCAGCGCTTAGCGGGCAGGCCGAGGCCTGGCGGGGGGCTCATCCGCACGGCCCTGTGCCCAGGGCGATGTTGGCCCGCCGCCCAGCTCTCCATGCTGCCCTCTGCAAGGCCCACACTCGTTGCAGCCACAGCCTGGATGCACCAGTTCTAGAACACCTCCCAGGATCCTTCAGGCTTTCTAGAATGTTCTGTGATCCAGGGGTTCTCAAAGTGCCAGCAGGGGCCTGTCAGAAGCGCGAGTTGACCGCCCACCCCAGGCCCGCTGGGCTCTTTGAGTGTCCCCGAGGGCCGCGGCCCGTCCCCGCCGAGCCACCCCAGCCAGGGCGCGCTCAGGAGACCTGACTGGAGCGTTGGTGTGCACCTTCTGCCCCGCTCCGGCATTCGCCCCTTCTCGCTGGGCTTCCGTTCCACGCTGGGTCTCTCGGACTTTAGAGCCCAGGTGTCGTGGGCAGATCCCAGCATTGCGAGGGTGTCGTGGGGGGGCCTGCCTGCGTCCCGGGTGCTGGCACTGCCCGCCAGGTCTGGGACACGGGACTCCGTGTCTTCTGAGCAAGGAGCGCACGAGACGGCCCCGCCCGCGTGCTGTGCTCTGGGCGGGGCGGCCTCCCTGTGAGCGTCCTCGCCCAGCCGTGGGGCTCCGGGTCCCAGAGGGGCCTCGGGGCGGCAGGACCTGGCGGCCGCTGCGGCGCGCCAGCCCCTGCTCAGAATGGGGCTGTGCTTCCCTCCGCAGACGAGAACAAGCCCATCTGGATGCACGCGGAGGAGAGGGAGGAGTGCAAAGTGAGAGCGCGCCTCCCGAGGGTTTCCCGGTGGGGGCGGCGGGGGTGCTCCGGGAGACCCGCTCACCTGCAGCGACCTGTTCCGATCAGGGGAAGCAGAAGGACGGGCCGTCGTTCGGGGAGTACGGTGGCTGGTACAAAGCCTGCAAGGTCGACAGGTACGTCTGTCCCCGGACACGCGGCCGGCCGGGGCCGCCGCTAGCGCTGTCTTGGTCAGCCTCGGCTGGCCTCGAAATGCGCGGAGGCCCCTGGGTGGCGTGCTTGCACCATCCACTTCCCCAAATTCCAGTGAGAGACACTAAGGACGGGCGCCGCAGTGGGGGTGCGGTACGGGTCCTGCCCCTGCACACTGCTGTGTCCGAGCTGCCTCCCGAAAGGCGGGACGGGGGCCTAGTCCGAAGCGGCTCCGTAGACTGCGAGCGCAGCGTTTCCTAAACGCACGGAGCCACGCCGTAGGGAGACCCTAAGCCGCAGCCCCTGCCCTCGCCTGGCCTCGGCGCGTGCAGAGGGCGCTGGGAGCAACCCCCCCCACCCCGCGGGCTGCCCTGGGAGCCACGCCCCCCGTCCCGCCTCTCCGACGCCTGTGTGCCCCTCCCTGTCTGCACGAGTTCCCCTGCAAGGCCCTGCGTGCTGTCACCTGATCCGGGGGGCTTTCTGACCCCCGTCTGGGTGCCCCACGGTGCTTAACAAACACGTTGCTTTCCCCCATGCCTGGATTGCTGCGTCAGAGGCCACGTGCGCGTCATGGGACGTGCGCGTCCACGCCAGCGTGAACGGGCTCGCGCTCGTCTGCAGTGCGGCTCCAGTCGGGAGTGCGGGGACATCGCCGGCTCTGCCGCGCTCTGTACGCCCTTCTGTCGTTGCTGAGGCTCTGGTTCGCTCTGTCCCCTCCACGTGCCCCGGACACGGACGCGCCCTCGCTCCAGGAGGCGTGGCGGCCACCAGTCAGCCCCACAGGCGCTCCCACTGACCCGGCGGCCGCAGTCTGAGCAGCCACCGCTGCAGGCAGCGCAGGACCCCCCGCGGCGGCCTCGCCCGTACAGCCCTGGCGGACGGGGTGCGGGAGACAGAGGAGCTTGTTGTGGTTTTACGTGGGAAAAAGTGCCGTAGAAATTTAGAGGAGGTTTAGCCAAACATATGCTGCTAGTGCTTCAGACGGAGTGCTGGGGACAGCGGCCTCCGTGAGACCCGTTCCGCTGTCCCGCGTGTGCTCTCTCGCAGCCCCACGGTCACCACCACTCTGAAGAACCTCGGGGCGCTGTACCGGCGCCAGGGCAAGTTCGAGGCCGCGGAGACGCTGGAGGAAGCGGCCATGCGGTCCCGTAAACAGGTCAGTCCCAAGCTGCTGCTCCGGGCCCCCCGCACCTCCGGGACTCCCCGGAGCCCTGGTGGAGGAGGGGGAGGGAACCTTGACTAGCTCAGCTCACGCAGACAGCGCTGCGCCACGTAACCACTGCGAACGCGACACCGCGGGCATGGGCAGCAAGGGCAGACCTCGGTCGGTCAGCTTCACCGATGGAGACGTGGGGGCGCTGCAGAGTCGCCCACGGGACGGGCGGAGTGTGGAACCGTCGTGTGCGGGGCGAGTCTCGTGTGCAGAATGGACGGAGACGGAAGGCCCGAGTGTGAGGAGCCAGCAGGGGCCCGGAGCGGAGGTCTCTGCGGAGGCAGCTGACACACCCGCCAGCGCCCAGGGGGAAGCGCGCGGCCTCGGCCGTTCTCCGGGCGGCCGGGGGTCGGTCAGGCGGTCTGCCGGAGGGACGCCGGAGAGGGCTGAACAGAGGCGCTCAAAACAGGCGCCGCTGGTGGCGGGGCTCTCAGGCGCTCCAGCCCGCCCAGTGGCTGTGGCCGTGAGTTAGCAGCTTCTCTGTGGGTCCCTGCAGGCTGCTGATCACGCTGTCATCGGCTCGTCGGTCTGTTGTCTCGTTTGTGCTTGTTTCTGTGTGAAAACACCTCACTTAGCGTTAGCCCAGGCCTGCGGGCGGTAGCACTGGAGCCCAGGCCTGAAGGAAGCCCCCCTCGACATAGCTGCGGGCCCACCCGCGTGCGGCCAGGCCGCCTTCTGGCACTGGGCACATGGATGGCCCCTCGGCGTGGGGTCCCAGCAGGAGGAGAGGCGGCCGGTCCTGTAGACGCGGTGCCCGTCCCCCCCAGCAGGGGCGTGCACGTCAGTGGGCGGGACTGGGAGAGCCCTGGGTGCCGGGGGAGGGGCGAGGGCCGACCTCAAACCCACTCCAGCAAGTCCGTGAGACCACAGCCCGACCCCTGGGGGACGCGGGCGGACACTGCTTACTCTCCTGTGTGCGTGGTGGTGCTTCGGCCTGCCCCCGTGGGCTGGGCGTGGACGCCGCCCGTGTGCCGTGAGGGGAGTCCGGCAGTCAAGAGTTCCAAGCTGCGGGGGCGCGCCCTGTCGGCCGGGATGGGCTGGCCACGCTGAGACCCGGCTTGTGAAGGAAACACGGGGGAAAGGCTGGGTTCTCGCCCTGAAGCAACCAGTTTGCAGAGTGAGGGGTGTGCCCAGGGCACGTGGCCGGTCGGAGCCCGTGGCTCCCGTGGAGAACGGGGTGGGTGGGCACAGGTGCGGCGTTTGCAGGAGCCTGTGTTTGAGACACAGGTGTGGGAGCCCACGGGGACCCTGGAGTGTGTTGCTCCTCGGCCTCCAGGTGGACCGAAGTGGCGGGACATCGCTGCTGCGCATGACGCGGGCGGGGCGGCCTGGAGGGATGGGGCGTGGCCGCGTGCTGCGGCCCGGCATCCGCTGGGGTCGGCGGCTGGAGTTCTGAGAGCTGTGCCGGGAACACAGCCGTGCTCGGGCCTTCGGCCCTGGTTGTGTGTGTGTGTGGGGGGGGGGGGGGCGCTGAGGGCTCCGCACTGGGCGTCTGCCCAGGCCTCCCTGGGGACCTTTGCAGACGCGGGGACCTGAGAAACTGAGGCCCATGGGCACGCCGCCCCGGCCCCGTCTCTCTTGTACCCTAGTACCTGGCGCGTCTCCTTCTGCCCGCGCCAGGTACGAGGGCGCGGTCTGCGCGGCGTTCCCAGCGCGTGTTCCTCCGCGCGCCGCGCGGGGGCTCCGTCGTGTCCACTGGCGCCGGGGGTGGGCGTGAGGGCCTCTGCCGCTCCCTCCAGAGCGCTCCCCTGACGCGGCACCCCTGCCCCCCGACCGCAGGGCCTGGACACGGCGCACAAGCAGAGAGTGGCCGAGGTGCTGGGCGACCCCGAGAGCGCGGAGAAGCGCCGGAGCCGGGAGAGCCTGACCGCAGACTCGGTCAAGTACGAGAGCGGCCCTGACGGAGGGGAGGAAGTGAGTATGGGCGTAGAGTGGAGCGGGGTAAGTACAGTGCGCGGCCCCCCCAGCCCCCTCCCCCGTGGGCCCGCCCCTTCTCCGCGTCCCAGCTGGGCTGGTACATGTCCCCGCCTCCCGCCCGGCCACGCCCCTCTCGGCTCCACCGCGGGGGGGCGGGGCGCCAGACGCTGACGGGGCGCCCTGGGGGCCGGGCTTCCTGTTCACCGGTGGCCAGCGTGGCAGATGACTAACCTGCTTTTCTAACTCGCCGGTCTCCTCGCTAACCCAGCGCCCCTCACCGCACTGACCGGGCCGCTGCAGGGTCTGCAGGGTTGACCGAAACGCCCGACGGGGGGCGTCTCAGACGCGCCCATCTTCAAAGAGGGACGGGTCAGGAGCAGGGGCACTCGGTGGTGGCTGCTCCCCGGGTCCCACTGTGGCCCCGAGCGCCCGGGGTCCAGGGCGTCACCGTTCCCTGCCCCAGTTTTCGGGCCCAGAGCTCGTCCCCCTGTTGAAGACACTTGGGCTCCTGGTGGCCTCCCGGCTTCACTGTGGCTGCCGGGCACTCTCACCGCTGCGCGCCCAGGGGGTGCCAGAGAGCGTGGCACCCTCGGGCGCTGTCCTCCTGGAGCCTGTCGGGGCCCCGAGGGCGGCCTCCTTGCCCAGGGCCACATGCCAGGGAGCGAGAGCACCCTGGGGTGCCATCCGCGTGGTTGAAGCCTCGGGAGCGCACGCACTCAGAGTGGCGGGCATGCAGGGACCCGGGCTGAGAGACCCGGGCTTTCCCGTCCGTCCCGGGTCCCTGCAGCGGCAGCAGGCGGGCGAAGACCCACCTGCGGGGCAGAGGTTCCGTCCGACGTCCGTGTCCAGACCGCCAGGGGCAGCGCCTCGGGGCCGTCGGTCCGGCAGCTCCCTTGCTCTGGGTTTTCCCGGGCCGGGTCAGCCAGTCAGCATGTCCGGGACCCCTCGCCCTTGGGCGGCGTCCCCGCTCCCATCCCCGAGGGCCTGGCATGCGCTGTGCTCCCCCCCTCGGGTGCCCCGGTCCGCGCGCTTCCTGCAGGGCAGGCCCCTTGGCCAGCGCCGAGCCACCGGGGCGCGGCTGCGGGGACCTCTTCTGAGACAGTGTTTCCGGGTCGGCCTGCCTGGGCAGTCCCGTGGTCACAGGGTCGCCGACCCTGTCTTCAAGACTGAGCCTGGGGACGGGGCGCCTTCACTCCCCCACACACACACGTGCTGTCCCACAGGGCGTCGCCTGCTGGGTCTCGGACGCCTTCATGCTGGACGCTGAGATGCTGGGGGCTCTCCGTCCTGAACTCGGTCCACCCCCAGGCCCAGGGCCCAGCCAGGGCCCGGTGCGGGCGCTCCCCTGGGGGCAGCGGGAGGAGCCTGCTCGTGGGGGTTGTCAGGGAGAGCAGCGAGGAAACCGAGGGTCCCCTGGTGCTCGGGGAGGGGGTGCTCATCCCTGTCGCCGAGGCCACCGCTCAGACACGGCCCACCGCCCTCTCGCGGGGAGGGGGCGGGGGGGCTGGCTCCCCCAAGGCTCCGAAGCCCCAGGAAGGCGGTGCTGGGCTGTCCCCACCTGCACGCAGAGCCCACCTCTAGTCCACTTCTGAAGCTCGCTCCTGCTACCTGTGACGAGGCGGTCAAGGCACTGGGTGGCTGTGAAGTCCCCTGTGACGGGGTGCAGTCACCTCCACCCTCGGCCCCGTGAGACCGGTGCACCTGTCTCTGTGGGGGCCGACTTCCCTGGGGTCGCCGTTCCCGTGTGCTCGGGGACTTCCCGGGTGCGGTCGGGGAGAGGCGCAGCCTGGAGCTCGGGGCCAGGGAGACGGGAGGAGCAGACCCCCCACGCAGCCCCCGTGGGTCGCAGTGGAGCGGCCGGCTGTCTTCCCGCTGGGTGCCTGGGTCCCCCTGAGGGCTGACGACACGTGACCAGGGAGGAGACGCCACTTAGGCTTTATCTTACGTCGGGGTTCTGGTCGGAGTTCAGCTTTTATGCAGAAACTTCAGCGCTCTTTGCAGCGGGGGAGCGCTGTGGGCTCCGGCCGGGCCGCAGCAGGGCCCCTGCCCGAGGGCCGGGTGGCGAGGTGGGGTCGCCCGGCCCTGCCCTGCCCTGCCCAGAGCGGAGCTCCTTGTGGGCTGTGAATGTCGACCACGAGGAACGGAAGGCGCCGGGCCTGCCGGGGACGGGCGCGGAGGTGTTGGCCAGGGATGGGATGCGGTGGGGGGCGAGTCCAGGGAAGCCCGCTCCGGGCCTCGCCCGTCCGTGGGCTCTGTGGCGGTGGGTTCGAGTCCGGAGGGGCGGCTTCCCCGCGCGCGCTGTAGGCTGGCCGGTGCTGTGGGGGCATTGGCGCCTGTTCTCTCGTGTGGCCCCACCTCTGGCGGCGCAGGGCTGGGTGAGAGCGGCCCCCCACTGTGTCCTCCTCGCCCACCCGGCGTCCCGTGGGCGGTGCGTCCGAGTGGGAGCGTGTGGGAGCCCGGGGCCGCGCGGCTGTTAAGTGCTGTGCTCGCAGCTGCCCCGTGCACTGCTGGCTGGAACAGGTCAGTCTCTGTTTAAAGCTGTTGGGGGCACAGCTGGAGCACACATGAAAAATGAAAGACGTCATGTCTCCTCCAGACCGAGACGGCGGCCACCGCCGAGCGCGCTCAGTTTTGGTGAGGCGGGCTGCTCGTTCCTGCGAGGCGCTCGCCGCGGCCCGGGCCCTTGGCGTGGGGCGGCGCCACCACTGGCTCTGAGCGCCCCCAGCCTCGAACCCGGGACGGAGAGGAGCCGTTTGGCTCTGGCGGGTTTGGGGCCGCCCTTCCCACCGGCTCCCTCAGAGTCCGCGGGGCGGAGGCAAGGGGGGGCGGACCCCTGTGCTGGCCCCGGGAGCCTGGCGCTGCCCCGCGGCGGGCAGGGCGGGGCAGGAGTGGCAGCAGACCGGCCCACACTCGGCTGCGACCCTGGGGGCCTGCCGTCAGTACCGGGGGTGGAAAGGCGTTGCCGTTCTCGGAGTTGCGTTGGCGTCCGAACGTCATTCTTCTGAAGAGAAGCCAGGACTGTGTTCTTGTCCTCCCAGCCTCTGTGGAGGTCGGTAACGAGTTTTATTTTTCCGTTTCAAAGATGAGAAAGATGAAGCTCGGGCTGGTTAAGTGACTTGCTCAGCGTCCATGGTGAGTCAGACTGGGCAGGGCTCGGGGCTGCGGCGTCCGGGCCGCGAGGCCTCCGTCCGCCAGGACCCAGGGCGCGTGGCTGCCTGTGGGAACCTGTTCTTTGTAATGAACTTGGTTTTGGATCATCAAGTGCACGTTTAGAATGTGCAAGGCCTGCAGTTCCCGCCCTGTTTAAACGTTAGTTTTTTAGGAGAAAGCCCCTCCCCGGCCCCGATTTTGGAGACCTTGTGGCTGAGGGGCGTGAGAGGGTTTGACGCCTGGGCACGCGGCGCCTGGGGGCAGCCTCTCCCGGCCGCTGTGGCGGTTTCCGCGGCCGGGTCTCCTTCCTGGGAAGCTGGTTCCTGGTTGGTGCCCAGGAGGTGCCCGGCCTGGCGCCGACACACGTGTTTGGTGGTGGCCGGGAGTGCCCGGGCCAGGCGGCGTCGGGGAGCGGCGGGCCCCCCACGGCTACAGCCGGGGCAGGGCCGTGAGGCGGTGCGACCTAGAAACGCTGGGAGCCGCGCGGCGCACCGCGGGCGCGGGCTGTCCCCCAGAGTCTCACCTGGGCTTCTCTCTCCATTTCTGTCCGACAGGCCTAGCCGCCCTGTGGGGCCCCACTGTCTCCTGCAGGACGGCGGCGGCGCCTGCGGCTCTCGCCTGCCCCTCTCCGTGCTGGCTGCCGTGCTTAGCGACCTAGGACTCTGTCAGAGCCGCGCCCCTGTGACTGGCCCTCCCTCTCAGCGCTGCTGTCCTCTCGGGGGTCCCTGTCTCTGTGTACACGTAGCTTTGCCAGATATGTGCTCAGTCACACAGACTGTACCGATCAGAACACGTGTTGTGTCATGTTCGCGCTTAGCAGTGCGGAGCGACGGGCCGGCGCTCCCGTCGGTGAAGGTAGTTAGACGTGGCCCGCGGGCGTCACTGCGTGCATGACTGCGACCCCGCCTCCCGCCGGGCCGGCCCGGGGCTGAGCTCCCTGCGCCCTCAGGGCCCCACCCCCAGACCCCCCCGCAGCCTCGGCTGTGGCTGTGTCGTCCGTGCGATCACCGGGCAGTTCTGCTTTTCTCTACTAATCTCCCTGTCGAGTGGCCTGTGTACCTGTGTCTTTCTAACTCCTAATAAACTCACTCCAGCTGACTGGTGTCTCGGTGTCTGTCTGCTCGGACCCTGCCGCTTCTCCGGGGACGCAGCGTCCTGGGGCTTCCAGGGGGGTGGGTGGTGGGCTGCTGCTTCCCGGGCGGCGCGCCTCCGGACCGCCTGCGTCCTCGGGGCAGAGGCGGGCGGTCTCTCTCCTGCTTTCCGCAGGGTTCTGAGGGGTCTGGGGTGTTTGTGCAGAACGACGACCTCTCCGACCACACGTGTACTCGGCGTTAGGTAGAACTCGGTCAGAAGCAGGGCACCTGCGCACTGCGTTCAGGCGGCGCTGTTCCCGAGGCAGTCCCGCGCGTCCGGGGCCCCTGGGTGCGGACTGGGGACCACCTCCGTTTCCGTGGGGCCTGGCGGGCGTCTCTCCTGTTTCGGAACAGCCGCGCCCCCGCTCCCCGAGGGTGCCCCTCGGGCGTGAGCCCCGCTGTGCTCGCAGGTCCCCGTGGCCGGTAGACCGTCGTCAGGGACTTGGGGACGGACGGGTGTCCATGAACAGCGACGCGCACGCACGGCCCGGCGGTCGGAGCTGCAGGGCCCATCGCCAGGCCGCAGGGGTCCGGCCCGCGTGCCGGCGGGCACGTGGCTCTGCCTGCGGCGGGGAGGGCGGCCCCGCAGCTCGGCGCCTGTGCCGTGTCTTTCAGGACGGCACCGGGGCTCTGCGGCGCAGCGGCTCCTTCAGCAAACTCCGGGCCTCCATCCGGCGCAGCAGCGAGAAGCTGGTGAGGAAGCTGAAGGGCGGAAGCTCCCGCGAGGCCGAGTGCAAGGACCCCGGGTAACTATCCCGCCCGCCGCCGCGTCCGTGCGGGGGTGTTGCTGGTCGGGGCGTTGTGGCTCCCGCGCCGGCCGTCAGCCTTGGGCGGGGCTGGCCGGCCCGGGCAGCCGGGCTCTCGGGGGCAGCCGGTCGGGGACGAGGGCGGCGGGGCTCGGGCGCGGGCGTCCGTTTGCCCAAGTTCGTGCTGCTCCGCCGACGACACCCAGCCTTGGTCTGGTCCCTTCAAGTTCGTTCTGATGAAGGAAACTAGTGTTTCCCTTGTAAGACGGGCAGCTGGCTGTGACGGCACTGAACCCGCGCAGGCGCCAGCTGTGCAGGAAAGGGTCCCGGGGAAGCGTTGCGCGCCCTGGACCTGACCGTGAGGGGCTTGTCCGGGAGACCGAGCGTCCGGACTGCTTCGGCCGTGGCCGTGGTGCCCGCGTGGCAGCTCGCTGGCGCTGCCCGGGGCCCCGGGCCTGTGCAGCTCTGCATTGCCAGGGCTGGAGGAGGCCGGGCTCTCGTCCTCCTGCTCCGTGTCACCGGCCCTGGCTGGTGCCGACAGTCCGACTGTGGAGGCGTGTCTCCCAGAAACAGGGTTCTGTCGGCCGTGCTGTGAAGCCCTTTCAGGATGGCCCCTGCTGTTTACGGGTTTAAAGGTGGTTCTCCGTCGAGTCTTGTGGGTGAGAGTCCTCGCGCCCCAGGACCGCCAGGCCGGTTCCTCGGACAGTGTCCTGGGAGCAGGGGGCTGGTGCCCTTCCGGGGGTCTGCAGGGGCTCCCTCGCTGTGTTCGGGGGCTGCAGCTCAGCCCTCGCCTCCCCAGGTGGGCTCTGCCCCGGGCCCTGCCTGTCGCTGCCTGTCCTGCGCCCGGCCTACCCCTGCTTGTGGGCGGCCATGGGGCGCAAGGGGCAGTCGGGTGTCCGCCGGCCCTTCCCTGCACCAGCTCTGTGAGCACTCGGACGTCGGCTGAGGCTGCCCTGCCCGAGTGACCGGCTGTCCTGCGAACCTGGGCCGCGGGGTCCTGCGCTGCCCCTGGGGCGGAGGTGGTGGCTGCACGCAGCACGCCAGTCTGCGTTTGGGGAGAGCAGGCGGTTTTCTGGTGACCCGACGGGGCGCCCAGTGGGTCCTCAGGGCTCGTCGGGGGTCCACCCCTGTGCGGCTGCGGTGCTCCGCGCAGGCCCCAGCGCCGTCCCGAGGGGCTGTGCCTGTTCTGGAGGTTTCTCGAGCCGAGTCCAGTCCTGCCCTGGCGTCTCGTCCCTGGGCCTTCCGCCCTGGTGACGGGCTCCGGGTCTCCGGCTCTTCCTGCCGCGCGTTCCGTCGGCCTCTCCAGGGACGTGGCGCCGTGGGGGCCCCGCCTGACCTGGGGGGAGGGGAAGCCGGCCCCTCCGAGTGCGTGTGACGTCTTCCCGTGTGGTCTCACTCGAGACGCCGCCTCGACGGACTCTTTAAAAACTGAGTGAGTTTAGAAACTTCGTCTCCTAGAGTTCCCTGGACGGTGATCTTCGCAGGTGGGAGGGATGGTGGTGTTTACTGACCCAGTGGCTTTCCGAGTTGAGCACGAGTCCTGGGTGTTTCTGACACCAGTGCAGGGTGGCCGTGCGCGGCGGCGGGGACCGGGCCGGGGACCCGCCGACCTCGGGTCCAGGAGCAGCGTGGCCCGTGGGCGTGACCCCAGCGTGTCAGGTGCCACTCGAGGCTCAAGGGGGAGGATTGGGGACAGGAGTTTGCCCTTCTGTCCAGTCGGGAACGGGTTTGAGGAGGAAGGGTGTGCAGCTTCCTGCACAGGCGAAGCTCATCGGTCGATCGGGTGGTAGGACGACCACAGACGTCGGCGCGAGCTGCGGGGCCTCGGCCTCGAACCTCCGTCCCTCGGGACGGCCGCGTGGGAGGCGGCGCGGCCGGAAACGGGGCCCCACTTCCCGTCAGAGACGCCTCGACGCACGGGTGTCGGCCCGAGAGCCAGGGTTTTGCTCAGCAGCCGAGATGGGTTTCCCCAGAACAGCTTGACCGAGAACTGCGTAGTGGGGGCTGGGAGCGTGGGGAGCGGGCCGGGGACTGGGCCTGTGGCTGGCGTGGGCGCAGCTGCCCCCATGTCCCCGGGCGCGGCACAGACGGGCTCAGAGCTCCGGCAGCATCGTGGGGGGGGGGGTGCCCTGGGTGCGGTTCGCCCCGGGAGAGTGCGCGTCTGCTGCGGGCCTGGCCGCGTGTGGGCCCGGTCGGGTCGTGCTGACTCTTCAGCCGACTCCCCCGTCTCACGGCTGCGCCCCTGCCGGGCGCTGCTTGTGCTGCAGCGAGTCCGGACGCAGGGCTGCGGAGCCGGCGTCAGCGCCCCCCGTTCGGTTTCGCGAGCTGGGAAAGCCCCGGCGGGCTCCTGTCCAGCGGCGCGGCGGGGGTGGCAGCCACTGACCGCACGGTTGTCCGTGGCCATGCTCGGGCTGCGGGCGGTTTGCAGGGTGTTTGGTGAGTGTGTCAGGGGTGCCCGTGGGAGGGAGATTGTCTGCGAGTCGCTGTGTTTAAACACAAAGTCGTGAAGTCTGTTTTCAGTTTTGATTTTCGAGCAGAGAAATAATAACGTCAGAATTTACTAATAAAAAAAACTACCTGCTTTTCATGCGGGAAAGTACACACGCACAGAGCACACATCCACGCCTTTGGTCTCTCCAGCCAGTTTGCAGTGCGTGTCTTTACGAGGCCCCTCGGGGCGGCCCGTCCCACCCGAGCCCTTGAGGCCCCTTCCTGAAACCCCCCGGGGGGACCCGGGGGCCCAGAGCTGCAGACACGGGACGCACCCGTGGGGTCTCGGGACGGTCACTTGGTTTGAGGACAGAAGCCGCTCTCCCTGCCGGCGCTGCACGCGGGTCCGGGCCGTGCGGCGTGAGGATGGGGCCGGCGGCCTGGCCCCAGTGCGAGGAGCGGGGTCACGGCCCCGGGGCGGCTGTGCTGTGTCCCTGCCCGCTGACCGTGTGCTGACGTTTGTCCTTGCATGTCCGCGTCCTGGTCGCAGCATGAAGCGTGCCAGCTCCCTGAACGTCCTAAACGAGGGCGGCAAGGCAGCCGGAGACCGTTTCCAAGTAAGGAGCCCGGCCCCCCCCCACGCCCCCATGGTGCCGGCCAGCGGCCCGCACGTCCTCCTCTTGGCACCGTGGCCACGCCGGTCCGCAGCAGCCTGGCCGGGACCGAGGGGATGTTCACAGTGTCTGCGTTCTCTGGAAAGCAGTCAGTGACCTTGAGAGCCAGTCTGACCGACCCACTTAAAGTGAGATGTTCTGACAAATGTCAAGACTTGGCCAGTCTGTAACCTGTATGGTTAATTTGTGTGATTTCAGCCTCTGACAGGTTTACGACTAGTTACTGTCCAGTTGAGCTGCTGTTCCGTATTTAAAACTATTTAAAACTCCACTGACGGACTGGCAGGCTGTCACTCGGACGCCGCGGCCTGAGCCCTTTGTCCCTGTCTCCCGTGAGCGTGTCACCTTCACACTGGAGACCGTGGGCATCTACTCGCCAATTTCCTGTCATCTCCGTCAGTGTCTGGAGCGACCGTTGGGCGTAGGCAGCCCCCCCAGCGCCTGGCGCTGTGTCCCCAGCAAGCTGAGGGTCCCGGTTGTCTCCAGGACCTCGAGGCCGGCGTCGCGGCCGTGCCGGTCACGCGCTCTCCCGTCTGTTTTCTCACGCAGGAGCGGAATAGCCGTCTGGCGGACTCGCGAGCTGTGAGCGCCAGCCACACGGACCTGGCCCGCTGCGGGCCGAGGCCCAGCTAGACGGCCCCGGGGCCTCGGCCCGGCCCCCGCCCGCGTGCCCCAAGGGGAGCCACCCTGCACCGCCAGAGGCCTGCCCGGTCCTCGGGACCGAGCGCTGCCAGCACACGACTGGGAGACCCACCGGGCGCGGGGCGCGGGGCGCACACGGGGCTTGGCGGCGGCTTCAGCTCGGACTCGGCGCTGCTCCCAGGCCTGAGCGCGCTCTGCAGGACTCCGGAGTCCGGCTCAAGCCCAGCCTAACGCGGTGCTCGGCGGGCTGCAGGCAGGACCCTGGGGCCGTGAACCCTGCCCTCGGACAGCGGGCTCCCGACGGCCCGGGGCAGTGACGCCGGAGCGCGGGGGGAGGGGCGGCAGGGAGCAGGCCCTCCGGCACCGGCTCCTGCTCACGAGTGGGGCCCCACGTCCACCCCGCACCCCTGTCCGCACGCCACGCCTGCAGGGGCACGCCCTTCGTTTCCGAAAGCTCTTCCTGTCGGGCGGTCTGAGCAGCACAGGGCAGAGGGAGTGCTAACCAAGGGACACAGCGATTGGTGCCCAGTGACGTCTGGGGGTGTGCACGGTGGCGCCTCCCGCCTGCAGCGTGGGGGGCCACTCTTCAGACTCGAGGCTCTGAAACGCGGGCGTCCTTGGACGGGCCGCCAGCAGCAGTGCATTTGTTTTGGGGCGAGGACACGGTGGTGGCAGCTCACAGCGGGGGTCAGGGCACTCCCTGAGGTCCACTCCGAGGTGCCCCGGAGCCCGAGGGGGGACCTGGGGGTTTGCCGCAGCGAGGCTGAGCCCGAGACTTCCTCTCCGAGTCTCTCCAGCCTGAGGGTGTCCCTGTGTGTGGGTTGCTCCTGGATGACGGCACCTCGTTCCCTGGGGGACCGGCCTCAGCTCGCGGCCCCTGCAGCCCCCTCCCCGGCCACACTGCTGTTTGGCTCCTGGCCCCAGTTGGGGTCGGCAGGTTTGGGTGGGTGAGGACTGGCTGTCCAGATGACAGCAGAGCCCCGTGGGCTGTGGGACACCCCGGTCAGAGGCTGAAGACGATGCTGGCTCAGCGCTTCTCACACCCCCACTGCCCTGGGGGCCACCAACCGCCTCGGGGAGGGGTTCCGAGCAGAACCAGACTCGCGGGAGGTGGGGCTGGCAGCCTGGATCGTGCGGGACCCTTCCCAGGTCCCGGGGGTCGTGGCGCCTTTGCAGGTCGTGCCGAGTGTCCGGGAGGAGAGGCGAGGGGGTCTGAGGCCAGCAGAGACAGCTTCCGTGTTCGGGGGCTGCACGGGTGTCGGCGGTTTCTGGGTTTGGAATTGGTCTGGAGACAGAGGGGCCCGTCTCTCTGCCCCCGCTTGGGGCCTTCCCCAGCTGCTGAGGGGGCCCCGTGGGCGCCAGTCTGCTGGTCCGAGTCCCTGGAGGGACGCCCGGCAGTGGAGGGTCTACCCTCGCCAAGGCGGGGGCCAGCCCGGGCGGCGGCCCCCCAGCCTGTGGTCCTTGCAGCCCTGGAGGGAGCGGATGGTTGTTTTCGGGAATCGAGGGGCTGCCGGGAGCACCACGTGACCGGACGCAGTGCGCACAGTGCAGCGTCACGCCGCGGCGGACGCATGGGCCAGAGCGGCGCTCGCGGGCAGCAGTGCTCGCGGGCAGCACCCCCCTGGCCGCCTCGCGAGGGGTCGCGTTCACACCTCAGAGCAGGGTCCCGTGGGCCCGGCGGGGCGGGCAGGGGGCGTGAGGACGGCCAGCCCCGGTGGCCGGGGCTGGGGTCGGGCCATCGGGTGAATGTCTGTGGTCTCGCAGCTGCAGTTGTTACTGTGTTCGCTCGGTCAGGAAACCCTTTGGAATGTTAATATTTAATGACAAAAATAAAGTGCCCTGCTTCCCGTCGCAGCGTGCCCTGGAGTCGTGCAGAAAGTCTCCGAGAAGCTCCGACCCCTCCTAGTTCTCACCCGCCACCCCTCCCCCCACAGGGTCCGGGCCACTGTGGGAATGGGGTGCCCTGCAGACAGGCCGCCCTGCCTGGGTCCGTGTCCGAGCAGCAGGCTGCTGGCCAGTGACAGGGATGTGCCCCTCCCCCAGAGCCCGCAGCAGCCCCGGGCGGCTGTGCCCCAGTTCTCGGGGGGCGGCCAAGCCCCTGAGTCTCTGGCGCCTCCGTCACTCTGGGGGCTGGGAGGGCACGGCCGTCTCCAAGGGCCAAGGGCTGGTCACCGTGAATGGGTCCAGGGGCCACCGCTGTGCTGGCCGTGTGTCGGTCCCAGCCCCTCCTCAGCCCCCGCCCAGGCATCACGGGGGGTCCGGACGGGGGTGGGGAGGGGACAGGGGTGAAGACGGCTGGCTCTGCCCACACAGGTGCACACAGGCTGTGTCCTCTGCACCGGGGCTGCTGTGCCCTGAGCTGGTGCCCAGGTGCAGCAGGGCCCATGCCAGCGGGAGGTCTGTTCTCATCCGGGAGGACAGCCCCTGCAGGTGGCCCTGCCATGTGCCTGTCAGAGTGGACGCCCCACCAGGCTGGAGCTGATGTCCCCACCGCCCAGGCCAGGCCTGGGGAGGCGTGGTGGACGGGTGGACCGGTGCTGTCTCCGCAGACGGGCCAGCCCCCCACAGGCCAGCACCAACGGCGGGAGGGGCGGGGGCAGGGACAGCAGAGGGGGAGGAGCCTCCCAGGGGCTGGGCCGGAGCCACGGGGAGGGGGGCGCTGCTGCTCCCTGGGGCCCGGGGCTCCTGGACACAGTGGGTGCCCTGTGGGGCCGGCCCAGTGGGGGAGGGGGACCCCCCAGGGGACACGCGTTCTGGCAGGCCGTCTGCGCTGACCCCTCCCGGAGGCCCTGACCCCTCCCGGAGGCCCCGACCCGGGGGCACCATGCAGACGGGGCCCCGGGGCCCTGGCACTGGGGGGGCTCTGCCCAGACGGGCGCTCTCGGCGTCAGCCGGACTGGGTCCCGGGCGTCCCGCGCACCCCCTCGGGGTTGATGGTGTAGGAACAGGACGAGGGGGGCAGGTGGGGGGCAAAGACCACCCTGAGGGTGCGGCCGGGCTGGCCCAGCCCGGCTTCCTCAGGGCGGCGCCGGTCGGCCATCAGTCTCAGGAGCAGCTGGTTGGCCCAGGCGATGCCCAGGGCCGGGGCCCGGCGCTCCCCCGGGGCCCTGAGGGGAGACACACGCACGTCACTCCCGGCACCGGGGCCCCCCGCCCGCCCCCACCCGCCCAGGGCCCCCGCTCACCCCAGCGGTCCCAGCGCTGCGTCCTCCTCCACGGCCTCCGTCACCTGGGGGTCAGACGGGGGTCAGCGGCAGAGCGTCACAGGGAGGGGGTGAGGGGCGGGCGAGGTGGGCGGCTCACCTGGTTGACGCAGAGCACCGGGCTCCGGAAGGCCTGGCTGAGCCCGCGCAGCGAGGCCCCCAGCGCCTGCAGCGCCCGGGCCCGGCGTGCGGAGGCCGGCCCGTCGAACTCGCAGCGAAACGGGGCTGCCACGGAGTCGATGACCACCAGGCGGGCCGCGCCCCGCGACAGCAGCGCGGGCACCCTCCTGCGCACGCAGTCCAGCAGCGAGTCCTGTGGGCCCGGGGCGGGGCTGTCACCACCTGCGCCGTCCACACCCCCCCCCCCCCCCCGCCGTGTGCCAGGAACCCCTCACGTCCTCCCCATCCTGGGTCCTGGGTCCTGGGTCCCGAGTCCCGGTGGGGGCCCCTCGCTCCCCTCAGGGCCACGGTGTGACCACCGGGGCTGTGGCCACCCCCGGCGCTGGGCCTTTGTCGGCTGCACCCGGGGTGGCCCTGCGCCCGGCAGACGCAGGCGGGAGGTCCCACACCCAGCCCTGCCTGGGACGGGAGACCCCAGGCCCTGGCTAGGCGGCACGGTGGGACAGGCGTGGGGCCGGGACGGGCCCGCAGGTGCCCCGAGCTGGCCCAGCCCACCCTGCCAGACCCGTCCTCCCAGTCCCGGGTGGGGGGCAGCAGAGCCTGGCCGCCCCGTTACAGTGCCTGAGGGCTGTCCCGTGTGGTGCCTCATCCGGAAGTGCAACTCCGCCCTGTGCTCCGTCCCCAGGGCGTACACCGGGGAGCCCCTGGGGCAGGACGGCGGCGGCAGCGGGCTGGAGGACGCCGTCAACGTGAGTCCTGCTCCCCGGCCCAGTAGGCGGTTCTGGGCACCAGGGGCGGGTGGGGCCAGGACACCCGGGGGCCCGGCAGGGAGACCAGCCCCCAGCAACCAGGTAGATGCCCAGTGGGAGGGGCAGGCCTGCTCCCCCCGGAGCTGGGTCCAGGGCAAAGCGTAGAAAGGCCTCGGGTCTTGGTGGCCTGGCCCTGACCTGCCGCCGCCTCTCGCAGTGAAGCTGCATCGCCCCGGAGGACGCGGGACCACGCCGCTCCTGCCAGGCCACAGCCGCCCCGTGACAGCCGGGCCCAGGGGCCGAGGCCGAGGGCCCTGGAGCGCCGCGGGCGCCGCAGCACTAACCTCCTCCCGCCCCCGGGGCCCCGTGCACGGGCCCCACGGTCACACCGACCACCGCGCTGCTGGGCGGGCCGGGAGGCCCCGCCTCCACCCCCCCTTCCTTCCCTGCGTGTGAGGATGTATTTTATTGTAAATTTTTTTTTTTAATTAAAAGTTTATATGCCTTCGAGTGACGTTCTTTTTGTGATGGCTCTTCGGGCAGCGGAAGCCGGGCTGCGGGAGAGGCCGCCCCCCCCGGCCAGGGCCAGCCAGGCCGCCCGCGGTCTGAGGGCAGCGCCCCTCGCTGCCCCTGTGCGCAGGGTCGACAGGGGACGCCCGGACGCGGGGCCCGTGCAGCGGGGTCCCTGCGCCGGCGAGGGCAGCGTGCGCCCTCAGCCACTCACCACGGAGGCCGCGTGCTCGACGAAGATGCGGTCCGAGAACGGCAGCGTGCCCACCACGTCCCCCGGGGCGTCCGTCCGCAGGCGCGGCTGCAGGGCGATCAGCTGCTGCAGACGCTTGTCGGGGAAGGCGTCTTCCGTGCAGACGTACACGGCCCCTGGGGAGCCGCAGGGCCCGGGCCTTGGGAAGTGTCCCCTCGGGGCCCTGCCGGCCCCCGTCCCCCCCTTGAGGCCCAGCCTCCGGTCAACACCGTCTGGGCCGCGGCCGCTGAAACACAGGCAGTGCCAGCAGCTGAGGCCCCGGGGCCGTCGCTGTGACCCCGGGCGTGGACGGCACTGGTTTCGGCCCAGGCCCCAGGACAGTTTGACGGGGAAGGAGTCCATCCAGCAGAGGGTGCTTGGGCACCCGGGCACCTGCCTGCACCAGGGGCCCGGCCTCACACCCCCCGCCGGGCGGAAGCAGAGCCCACCAGGGAGAGGCCCGAGTGGGGCTGTGGTCCCCAGACGTGGCAGTGACACGGGGGTCGGCGGGCGGCGTCCCCCACAGCCGGGGACCTCGGGCTCCGTGTGGGGCGGGGCCTCGGGCCACGTGAAGAAAGAGACACCAGCTACAGGAGCCGGCCGGCCCCGATGGGCAGCGGCCAAGAACACAGCCTGACCCAGAAAGCCGACTGGACTGGACGCCCCCCCTCCACCAGAGGGGCGGCCACTCACCAGCCTCCAGGCCTCCGTGCCGCCGTGGGAGCTGCACCGCCAGGCAGAGCTGCAGTGCCAGCTGGGTCTTCCCCGCCGAGCTGCGGCCCGCCAGCTCCGTGATGCCGTCCAGGGGCAGCCCGCCGCCCAGGAGCCCGTCCAGCACCGGGCAGCCCAAGCTCAGGCGCTGGTGCTGCTCCGGGAAGCGGTCCCTTTGCCGGTGCAGGTCGAGTGCTGGGGAGGGCGCAGCATCAGGTGCTGGGCCCATGCGCGGGCAGGGGCGGGGCCAGGGCACGAGGAGGTGGTCGCTGCCTGAACCCAGGTAGGTCCCTCTGGCCAGGAGGCCCCTCCCCGCTGCAGGGCTCTGCCCGGTGGCCACGCCCTCCCGCTGCCTGCGCCCCTCGGCCCTGCTCCTCGGGTCCCAGCACTGACCCCTGGGTCGAGGGCCCACCCCCGTGCCCCTCAGCAGAGGCTGTGCCCGTGGCCCCCGCCCAGAGCGGAGCTGCGGGGGCGGGGGCGAGGAGGAGGGCCCCGGGGCCCCGGGCACAGCGCAGCTGCCCGCCCACCTGTGAGGACGCTGCCCCCCCGCAGGCGGCGGGAGACTGTCCTGAGCACGAGCTGCACGTCGGGGCCCGAGAGGCCGGTCAGCCTCTGCAGGTCTGGCCCGGAGAAGCGGAGCACGTCCCGCGCGGACCTCAGTTTGGCTGAAACCACACAGACGCGTCAGGGGCGGCCAGACCGGGGAGCGGCGCCGTCTCCAGTTCTGGGGACCCGGCAGCAGGAGCCAGGTGCACCTGCTCCCCGCGCCGACGGTCCTGAAGGGGGAGGGGCCGGAGGGAGGGGCCTGGGGGCCGCCCTGCTCTGCAGCTGCCAGCCGGGTGCCCCGAGCCACGGCCACCCCACGTCGCCGCCAGAAAACCACACCCGAGGGAGGGGTGCCCACACATCCCCCCCCCCCCGGGCCGGCCGGTCAGGACAGCCGTGGGGTGGCAGGGGTGGCTAGTGGGGTGGACAGGGAAGGTGGTGCTCGGGCGTCAGGGTGTCGGTGGGCGCCTGCAGGGTGGGGAGGGCTGCGGGGTGCGGTGTCCGCGGGGCCTGGTCCCTCGGGAGGCGGGTGAAGGAGCGAGCTGTGGGCTGGGGCAGCGCAGGCGCGTGGGAGCGGGACGGGCTGCAGCGCCGCCCCGCGCACCCGAAGGCCGCAGGCCCGGGCCGGGCCGGGTGCACGGGAGGCAGCAGGTCGATGTCGCTCACGTCAGTCAGTACACGTGTCCTTGGGTGAGGAGTTAAAAAACGGAACGAGTAAGAAACACGCTAAAACGTGTCCAGCCAGCCCGAAGAAGGCAAAGAGAGGAAACCACCAAACAGAAAGGGGACAGATGGCGTCAGGGAGCGTCGGCCCAGATTTGTCAGGAACCACCTCGAACCCGCGTGCCCCCCCCCATGCTCCCGTCAGGACCCGCGGAGTCGGGCTGCTCGGAGGGGGGAGCAAAGGGGCTGACTCGCCCTCCACGGAACCAGAACCGGAACCCAGTTGCGGCCGGAGGAGCAGCCCTGAGAGCCCGCCACCCCCCCCTCCCCCCGGGCTCCCTCTGAAGCGCCCCGCCCTCGTGCGGGGGCGTCCCGGACAGAGGCCACGGGAGGGGGTGTGAAAGGGGTCCCGGGACACCCTGGGCTGAGCTGGGGGTGCACACCCAGGAGACAGGTGGGCGAGCCGTCCGCCCCACCCCGGGCGTTGGGGAAAGAGCCGGAGCCTGCGGGACCCGCAGGAGGGGGGGGGGTGCAGGGAGGGGGGTGCAGCGTGTGGGGAAGGGGCAGCCACTGACTTTGGGGGAAACGAAAGGTGGTACAAGAAAGCACACGGCCACCCGCCCCGGGTTCCGTGGTGGCCCTTCTGTCCCCACGCTCACTCCTGGGCGCCGGCGGGACCAGGCCATGCCAGCTGGGCGACAGTGGCGGGGCGCCCGCCGGCCTGGCCTGCAGGACATCCGTGCAACCGCTGTCCCCGCCGCCGGCCACAGGCTGTGGGCTCGGCGTTCGGGTGGGAGGTAAATGCAAAACCGCTAGAGACTCACGGCGTGTTTGCTGCTTCAAGGCAAATAAAGTTAACTCTTAGAAAGTGCTTTCGGCTGCACGCACACAAGCCCGAAAAGCCCGCAGCCCGATCCCACGTGGCCCCTGGGGAGAGGGCGTGGAGGGGAGGCCCAGGGCCGGCCGGGGCCAGCTCGGCGCCTGTCCACACAAAGCCCACACTCGGGTGGGCGCAGGCAGGTGTGCACGGGCGACACAAACGTGCGGGGCGGTAGTTAGCGGTGACACGAGAGTGGACGCTCGAACTCACGGCCGCAGACCGGCTCTGGCCGCCCCTGTGCGCCCACCCGCCCACCCCGCACCCATGCCGACGCGGGCACCTTTCCTGACCGCAGCGACGATCCTGGGGTTCAGCTCCAGGTGATCCCAGTCCATCTCTCGGGGCCGACCACGGAGACGACCCACTTGCAGGGACACAAACTCCGCCGCGCTCGCTGTCCACTCGACCGCCGGGGAGGCGCGCGGGGCGGCAGCAGCCAGGTCCCACGTCCGCTTCACTCTGCAGGGACACCCCTGGGGGGTAAGGCCGCGGCAACGCCTCTGTCAGGGCCGCTGTTCGGAGTCCGAGACCCCCAGACCCCGGGCCCAGTCCGTGCACTGAATGGAGGCTGGGAGGGACCCCCGCCCCCGCGGGGCGGGCTCCGTCCACCCTAATGTGGCCGGGCCTCCCGCTGGCTCATCGGGTCCCCCAGGTCCCAGCACTGCGGGTGGGGTGGCCACACAGTCGGTGGCGCTGCAGTGAGTCGGACGTCAGGCTGGTTTTCGAAGCTCCAAGGACCGGCCCCCCCCATGCACAGCCCAGTCCGGGAGGCACAGGCCTGGCCCCGGGGGGAGGATGGCCGAGCCTGGGACCGAAGCCTGAGCTGGGGCCACTCGGTCTGACACCTGGGAGGCAGCTGCAAGGCAGGAGGAAGCTGGGGATCCGGGTGCTGCCCTTCTGCCCCGGCTCAAGGCTCCGGAGCCCCAGCCAGGGCATTTCCCGGCCAGCAGGCCGGTCCCATGTTCCACCTGAAGCAGGGGGACGCGGGACTCCAGGGTCGGCGTTCAGGGCGGGGCTGCCCGCCCCCAGCTTTCCTGGCCTGCTTGTGAGCAATGCAGCGGGGCTGCTCACCCCACACTCCGCGAATCCCAGCCACCCAGAGGCCGCCCTGCCCAGGGCGTGCAGCCCCGCTGGGAGCGGCCCCCTCTCCAGACCGGCGCGAGGGAGCGGGGCAGGGGTGGGGGCCCTCCTCCGCCCTGCGGCTGCTGGGCGGGCGCTCTCACCAGAGACCCGGGAGGCCCCCCCGGCCGCCCTCTCCCTTCTCCTTCAGTCCCCGATCCGTCCTGCCCCATAGCTCTGAGCACGCCCTTTCCCCAGAGGCTCCCCTGACCCGGGTCACCAGCCTGGGCCGCCGGGATGGGCCGCGCAGCGCTGCGCGCCCACCTTCCCGCCACACACCTGCCCTTCCCTCGGCGCAGCCCGTGTCCGTGGTTGTCCACCCACCACCTTGACGCCTCCCTGTCTCCTCTAAAACACCCCGGCCTCGCACGGTCCGGGGGCACCTGCCCCCCGCGGCCCTGGGGCTGCCGTCCTGGCCAGGAAGGGGCTGTGGCGGGCGTCACCCTCGCGGGGTGCCAGCCCCGACAACAGCCTTCTCCCCGCTCACGAGTCCTGCCGCGCCAGCCCCGGCCCCTTCCCACCCCCGGGGCCCCGCTGGGCCGGTGCCCAGCTGTCCCTCTGCCCTTCGCCCGGCCTCGCCCTCGCCCCCCTGAGCCGCGGCCCACCTCGGTCCCGCTGGCCAGCAGCTCCCACCGGGCGCGCGCTCCAAGGTTCGCGCCGTCCCGCCTCGCAGCCTCCTCTTCCAATGAGCGCCAGGCGCCCCGCGCCGGGTAGTCCAATCAGAGAGGAAGCCTCGTCACGTCGAAGTCAGACTGGCCAATCCAAAGTCTCAATAGCCTTGACATAGGCGGAGCGTGCCTGGGCCGGCCCTCACTGACGATTGGTGACTGACCGTAGGGTGGCAGGGGAGGTGCCCTTGCGCAGATTGGACAGAGCAACGACAGGGCGGATCCAGAACTTCCATTGGTCTGAGCTCCAGGACGAACGTGCCTATTGGAAGCCGGCGCTGTCAGCCACGCGGTCGGGGCGGGGCTATTGGCGGGGCGAGGGCCGAGTGAGAGCGGTGGGCAAGCTCTACGGCGGCGTCATGTCCTCCGAGGTGGCCGCCCGCCGCGACGCCAAGAAGCTGGTGCGCTCGCCCAGCGGCCTGCGCATGGTGCCCGAGCACCGCGCCTTCGGCAGCCCGTTCGGCCTGGAGGAGCCGCCGTGGGTCCCGGACAAGGAGGTAGGTCACGGCCGCCCGCCAACCTCCCGTCCGCTTCTGAGCGCCGCAGACCCCGTCCGCACGCTGGACCCGACTGCGCGCCTCGGAACCCCGTCCGCGCCCCGACCCCCGTCCGCGCCCCGGCGCCCCAGTCCTCACCTCGGATCCCAGTCCGCGCACCGCAAACGCTCCCCGTGCCCGCCTCGCCTCCCCGACGCCCCTCCTCTGGCTCCTGCCGCCCTCCCTGTTCCCTCGGGGCCGCCCTCGGGCACCCTGCCTCGCGCCCCTGGGCGGTCCCTGGGCTCCGCTGGCCGCGCGCTTCACCCCTCCCGGGGCCTCGGGCACTCCGCCTTCTGCCTGGTTCCCTCTCTCGGGACGCTCAGAGTCCCCTTTCGCCCTGCCCCCGCCGCCAAGTTTCGGTGTCCCTCGCACGGCCCCGCTCTCCCGACGTGTCGCGGGCTCTGCCCGCTGGAGGGCATCTGTGAGTCCCGCGACGTCGGTTGAGCTGCTGGGGTGGGACGATGGAAGTCCAGTTGCAGTCCCCTACCCCCGGGGAGTGGAGCCCCGAGTTACTTCTCCGGCGGGCGCGGGGCGCGAGGGGCGTTTGCGCGCAGTCTCCCGCTGGGGAGCAGGAGCGCGTCGTGCCCGGGGAGCTGCGCCTGCTCGGGGTGGGGGGCAGGGGCGCGGCGGCTGCAGGGCTTCGGGCGGGGAGGCGGGAGCTGCCCTGCTGGCGGGTGGGTGCGGCACCTTCCGAAGGCCCTTTGGTGTGGCGCCAGGGGTTTGGACTCCCGCCCGTCTGCCCGTCATCCGCCAGCGATGAACCCGGGCTGAAGGCTGCGGCCAGCAGGACCGCTCGCGTTCCTGTAGGTCAGATGTGGCCGAGAGACGTCCAAGTGCCTGGACTTTTTCAGGGTAAACGTGTAGGGGTAACATCGGTTGGAAACATTGTGTTCGATCCGGGAGTACAGCTTTGCAGGAGGAGGACTCTGTAAGCCACTGTGCGCTCACCGCCGAAGTCTAGCCCCTTCCTGCGTCCGCACGTGAATTTGACTCCGTGTGTCCTCTCTGGACGCACCCACCCCCATCTGGTAACCGCCCTTCTGCTCGTATCCGGGAGTTCTGTGTGAGCGTTTTTGCGCGTCTCTTTCTGTTTATCATCCCGCACGTGAGTGAAACCATCAGGGGGCGGAGCCCTCTCCCTGCGAGGCCGCTACAGCGGCCGGCTTGCTGCAGGGGAATGACATCAGGTGCTTTTCAAGCAGCGGGCAGTGAAGTGGGGGCAGCTGGTGGGGGCAGGGCCGCCTCAGGTCCCCGCCCTCCCCCTCTCTTGCTGCCCGGAGGCCTGGCAGTAGGTGGCACTGGCTGTTCTGAGAGTTGAGAGGCCGGGGCCCAGGGAGGGTGGGAGCGGCTCCAGGCCACCAGGGTGATGAGGGGGAGTGGGTGGTCACTGAGCCGGCCAGGCCGCTGACTTTCTGGTCACCCTGCTGTGCCCTTTCTTTCCCGCCCTTCTGCCCCTGGCGCCTCTGCTCTGAACTCTGCACGGAACGCTCCTGTCCCCGAGTGCCTGCCTGGCTCGCGCTGGTGAAGGAGCATTGAAGGGAGAAATGGCAAACGTGACTGTTCTCACGAGTGCGTGTCCCAGAGTTCACCTGACAGCCACCGGGAGGGAGCGGGCAGATGTCACTTATCAGGACGCCAAAATGTCACCAAGTGCCTTGGGAGGAGGCCAACTGGTTTCTGCCACCGTGGGGGAGGGGCTGCAACCTCAGCAGGGACTGGTGGGCGTCACCCGGGCGTGTCCTGCAGGCCAGGCCAGTGTGTGTGTGGGCAGCTTCCCAGCCCCCAGCCCCCAGGAGCCTCTCCAGACACGGCTCCCTCCGACCGGCCCTGCTGCGCGGCCCTGCGGCTGTGTGGGAGTGCGGGCTCGGCCGTGCCTGGTTTCCACAGAGGCCAGGTCCCCGGGTCGGGGGCGGCGAGGGGCCCAGCTCTGACTGCGCGCACTCCCTCCGCCCGCCCTGCTGGGTCCCTGCCTTCCTGGTGGAAGTCATGGTCGTCGTCCCCGGGGGTGGGGCGCTGCTGGAGTCCGGCCCAGGCCGTCTGGAGAGCTCTTGCGAAACTGTTGAAACTGTTTGTCGGGTTGAAATGCTCGGATCCGGCGGCGCGCCCCTCCCCCACAGAAGTTTCTCTCCGCGGTCAGAAGGAAGGATGCGTCCCCGCGGCGCCCAGCGGCACGCACTCGGACGCGCTCCGCCCCTTCGGAGTTTGAGGGACGTCGGGGCCAAGGTGTGGGGGAGATGACCCCGCGTGGAGACGCCCACTTGGGAGAAGTAGGTCGCCTGTGGTGGTGCGGACCGCGCGGTGGAGCCAGGTGGGGCGTGGCAGGAGGGGCACGGACCAGTGTCCCCGTGTCCCCGAGCTTCGCGCTCACCCCCCCACCTGTCACGTGGCTGTGCCTTCCTGGGCCAGTCCGAGGCCGGGCGTGCCACGGGGTGCCTGACCCTGGGCCAGGTCACTGGCTTGGGCCCGAGGGGACATCCCTGAAAGTGTTGGGAGTTTGGGGGGGGGTGTGTCTGCATGAGTCCATAGTGAAACTGTAGGGCAACCGACGGCAGGGCCCCTGCTGCCGGTCCCCGCTCGGACAAAAAGCCGAGACAGGGACTGAATTTTCTTTTCTTTTTAAAGGTTTTATTTAGTTTTAGAGAGAGGGGGAGGGAGGGAGAAAGAAAGGGAGAGAAACATCCGTGTGTGGTTGCCTCTTGTGCGCCCCCTACCGGGGACCTGGCCTGCAGCCCCCCAGGCGTGTGCCCTGATGGGGAATCAAACCAGTGACTCTCTGGTTCGCAGGCCAGCGCTCAGTCCACTGAGCCACCCCAGCCAGGGCGGGGACCAGATTCTGTGTTTTTATTAATCCCAGAGGCCATCAGTCTGAGAAGGTGGCGGCCTCTCAGGGAGCACCTGGATGCCCACCCTCCCTTGAGCTTTCAGAAGCAAGTCACACGGAGGGGGCTCGGGGGTCTGGGAGGGGAAATTCCAGGGGAGCACCGTTGTGCCGTGTCTCTCGGGAGTGAGGGGGGGCCCGACAGGGAGCCAGCAGCGTCGCCCCTGCTACCTGCCGCTCCCGTGCGCCAGCCCTCCCCTCCTCCCAGACCCCGTGGTTCACGGCCAGGGAGGCCGCGTGTTCTGTACTGGGGCATGGGGGGGGGGGGGCTGTAACCCCTCTGCTCTCCGTGTCCTAGGCCAGGGAGGCAAGGTCTTGTGGTTCCCCGCCGGCTGTCCGTCAGTCGCTCAGGCTGCTTGGCCGTGTTCAACCTTCTCCTCTGTCCCCCGTTCCACTCGCCCAGGAACTTCCCCGGCTTCCTACTGTCCTGTTGCAGCAGCCTGCAGCTTGGGGTGCTCTGGCGCCAGAAGGAGCTGGGGGCCGCTTCTCTAGAGTGTACCCAGAGGGTTATGTGGTCTGTGCCCCCGGGCGCTTGTGGAGCGGGGAGGTCGCCGGTTCGATTCCCGGTCGGGGCACGTGCCTGGGCAGGAGGAGCCTGGGCAGGAGGAGACTGGGAGTGCTCTGGGGGCCGAGAGACAGACCGACTGCCGTCCAAGTGGCCATGGGGCCTGCTGTCCGCCCACGCGCCCTGGGGACTGGTCACAAGCAGCCAAACGCTGTTACCCTTACACCCCACCCACGCAGCTGTGCACCCCTTTTCTTCCTGTCCCCACCCTGGGCACCCCTACCACGGTGACGGGGGGGGGGGTGGCGCAGAGCTCCGGGGAGAGCGCGCAAGGGGGCCCAATAAACAGCCGATCCAGACAACAGTGTGGACGTCATTCCCCAGGCTCCTTGCGGGGGCAGGGGCGGGGGGGGTGTGCTCCTGGCGGGGGGGCTCTGCCACCCTGGCCTGCAAGGGCCCCAAGATCAGGCAGAGGAGAGCAAGTGGGGGTGCTGTGCTGCGCCCCAACAGCGGATCAGGGGCTGCGTCGTCCCCGGGTCAGCATCTCGGGCCAAGGTGGTCACAGCTCAGGGGCACGTGGGAGGGAGCCGACTGGAGCCCGGTGAGCCGGGCGCCTGGGCACTCGGCACAGCCAGGCGCAGAGTGGGGGTCGGGCCGGCCTCGTCCGAGGTGCCGAGTGGCATCTCTGAGTCTTGGTCCAGTCACGCGGAAAGGGGGTTCTTCGAAGCACACTCCCCAGAACACTGAAGGGGGGTCTCAGGTCACGGGCGAGTTCACGTCCTGAGGGGACCCACAGCCCTCTGCTGCCCAGGAGCTGCTGCTGAGAGGCCCCAGCGGGGGCCCCACCGAGCTCCTGGGATGTGGTGGTCTCCAGGGTCCGCCCCTGCTGTGCTCCGAGCCGTGGGACGATGCCTGCGCTGCGCGCGGTGAAGAGCTGAGCTTCCCACCCCCCAGGGGCCCTCTCAGTGGTGGCCCGGGGGCGGAGGCTCAGTGTGTGCTGTGCAGAGTCCTGCTTTCGCTCTTCAGAAAGAACTGTCCCTCAGTAGAGATGTGTCAGTCCGTGTATGTAAAAAACTGACTCTTATGCCTTACGGCACTTGTTTTTTGAGGAACCTAACTAAGAAACGGTCTAGTGTGAGAACCGGGGACCAGCCAGTGGGAGGGTGTTCCTTTGTCACACTGCAGCCTGAAAGGGGGGCAGGCGGGTTGGGCGCGGGCGGCAGCGGCAGCGGTGGCAGCAAGGTGAGCAGACAGGCGGCGCCTGAGGCCGGTGGGGGCACTGCCCGTGGTTCTGGAAGGGCCGGGAGGGCCAGACCCGGCCCACGTCCAGAGCCGAGCAGCTGCAGAGCAGAGAGGAGGTCACGGTACCTTGGAAAGCTCAGACCAGGCGCCCGGTGCTGGGCTGCGGCGCGAGGCCCGCCGAGGCCCAGTCCCGACAGCTGTCCCTCCGCCGGGGTCGCACTGCCCGCCGCCCGCAGGGAGCGCCTGCCCACCGGCTCTACTGGACTCCTGCGTGGGCCCACTGCCAGCAGAGCCGCGGGCCCGAATGCCAGCGTCCTCAGTGCGGGTCCTGACGCTTGTCCCCTCTCTCCTAGTGCCCGAGATGTATGCAGTGTGACGCCAAGTTTGACTTCCTCACCAGGAAGGTGAGCTGAGGCCCTGGGTGGGAGGGGCCCGGGTGGGCCGCCTGCCTAAGAGCTCAGGAGCCCGCGTGCAGCCTGCACCCCCGTGACCCTGCGGGCGCTGGCAGGGTCAGTGCCCCGGGGGCGTCCTGCTTTGAGCAAGGCTGGGGTGCAGTGTGCAGGTGGGCGTCCTGGCCCCGAGCAGCAGGACCCGGGGCCCCTCTGGAGAGGTGCGTGTGTCCCCCGCTCACTGCCCTGCCCCCTCCGCCCCGCCCCCCAGCACCACTGCCGCCGCTGTGGGAAGTGCTTCTGCGACAAGTGCTGCGGCCAGAAGGTGGCGCTGCGGCGCATGTGCTTCGTGGACCCCGTGCGGCAGTGCGTCGCCTGTGCCCTGGTGTCGCGCAAGGAGGCCGAGTTCTACGACAAGCAGCTCCGCGTGCTGCAGAGCGGTAAGCGGCCCGCTGGGCAGCGGTGGCGCCGGCCCCGGCTGGCCGTGTCTGTGGCTGCCTCTCCACGGGGCTGGCTCGCCCTCCGCCGCCTGGGCCCCCACAGGAGCAGGTGTGGAGCCAGCCCCCTCTCCAGAGGCACACGCGGCCTAAAACGTTGGTCTCCCTCTGCTGGGTGTGGGGCCACCAGCTCGGAGGCTCCGTGGGTCCTGGGAGGCTCCGTGGGTGGGGACCTGCAGGCTGGCACGGGGTCCTGGGGCCTTGGGCAGCTGGCCTGCCTGCCCTGCAGTTTCTCCTGGCTGGGGGCAGAGGGGGGTGGGGGGCAGGTGCGTGCCCGCCCGTCTTCGGGTCTCGGCCTGGCGGCTCCTGCAGCGCACGGGGGGACGGTCAGCGCTCTGAGCCGGGCCTCTGGGACGGCGTCCCCTGCGCCTTCCCCTGAAGGACTGGCCCTCCCGCCCCCGCGAGGGGCCCTGGAGCACGGCTGTCACGCCCCTCGCTTTGTGCCTGGCGGGAGCGGTGACTGGGCAAGGAGCAGGCTGTGCTCTCATGCTTGCGTTTGTGCCCCAAGGAGCCACCTTCCTGGTGACGTTTGGAAACTCAGGGAAGTCGGAGACAATGGTCTGTCGCCTCTCCAGCAACCAGAGGTAAGAGGCAGAGTCCGCCGGGCCCCGGCAGCCTGTGCCCCGGGGCCTGCGGGTAACGTGTGCGGGCGCCTCTGTCCGGCAGGTTCCTGCTGCTGGACGGGGACGGCCACCACGAGGTCGAGATCGCACGCATCTCGACCGTGCAGACCTTCGCGGAAGGCCCCCCACCTGCAGGTGAGCGCACCTGCCCTGGGCCGAGCAGGAGGCCGGGAGCCGGCCCGTCGTCCTCGCTGGGCTGGCTTCCCTCCGTGGCTTAAGGAGCTCGCTGGGGGCCTCGCGTGTGCACTGGGGAAGGTTCGCCCGCACAGGTCGTGCAGGGCCTCTCCCTTGTGCGGCCGGCACCCCTGGGGCTGCCACGGGGGCTGGAGCGTAGCTGGGGGGCCCTCCCAGCACCAGGCGGGGGCCTGTGCCAGCCGAGTTCCTGGCCTTCTCCTTGGCCAGCTTCCAGAGCTCCGAGCCGTGTGCATCTTTCTGGCTAACCCTCCGTGCCTCCGTGGCCGTCCTTGCACTGGAAACCCACAGGACTTACCTGTCTCGCTTCCTGTCTCCTGAGGGGCTTTGACTGTCCTTCTCTCCTGCCTGCCTGCCTTCCTGTCTAGAGAAAGACTCTCACACTTGTGACGGCCTCCGGGGAAGCCAGCCCACCTGGGAAGGTCAGCCTCCCTCTTCGCAGCATGCTGGGGGCCCTGCACCCCCTCCTCTGCTTCTGCCAGGGGTGGGGGAGACTGGCAAGGGCCCCCTGGAGCAGTGGCTCGAGTCTCTGGGTTGGTTTGAGAGAGAGGACTGGGTCCGTGACGCGGGCATCCAACCTGAGTGAGAAGACCCCAGCGGGAGCCGCACCGGTCGTTTTCCTGACCAACGGGGGGTGTCATGCACTGCTTCGCAGCATCTTCTCTCTGCTGCTGTCTCTGAGCAGCGAGTCCGGGGTGTCGGGGAGCAGGGCGTAGGGGGCCCTCACAGCACGCTCTTGGCCCGAGGCCAGCCCCCTGCACTCCTCCGGGAGACCTGCGGCCTCCCGGGCTCCCCAGCTGTCTGGAGGAGGCAGCCGGCCAGGCCGGCATTCCAGCCCCTCTGCCCCTTCCGTTGCCCGTGCAGGCCGGCAGTTAGATCGGCCCTCACGCAGAGGCTGGGGTCCGCCCAGGCGGCCCTCTGCCTGCCTCCTTGGAGCCCGAGGCCAGGGAGGTGGCCAGGTCACAGCCCCAGCTGGTCTCCAGGAGCCTCTGCTCTTTTCCCAGCAGGACCCTGGGCAGGGGCTCCTAGCGCCACCCCCCCCCTTGTGGTGCTTTAGGGAGCCTGGTGGGCCCTGCTCTGCCGAAAGCTTTCCAAGAACCGTGAACCCCACCACGGTGTCCCCATGGGGGTGGGGCGCAGGAACAGGCCCCTGAGCTGGAGACAGCCAGGGGCGCGGCCCACTGGCCTGTCGGGGGCCAGGCAGTAACTGTACTCGGCTCTGTTGGCCAGACAGGCTGTTGCAAAGTGTGGAAGCAGCGGGAGGAGACAGGTGTCGGTAAACCTGACAGGTGGGCAGAGCATGGGGGACTCCTGCCCGGAGCCGAGTCAGGGACAAGCCAGCCCGACACGGAGGCAGCAGTGAGGTTGGGGCCGGGAGCGCAGGAGGCTGGGGGACGGCACTTCACGGCGGCGGCGGCGGCTTCGGGTTGGGCAGGCCCCTCGGCCGGAGCGCGCCCCCTCCGCTGGTCTGTGGCACCGCGAGGTGGTTCCTGCTCGCACGCTCCTGACGGTGCCCCGTCACCGAGCCCGCGCTGTGGGGCCTGCTCTCCACGAGGCTTTCCTGGCCACCACTGCCCTCTGACCTGAGCAGGGGCTCTCAGGGCCGGTATGGGAAGTGTGCCGTCACTGAGCACCTGGTCCCTGCCGAGGTGGGCGGTGTCCCAGCAGGCCTGTCCCCCCTGTGGCACCTTCGTGGGAGCTGAGTGTCTGGGTTGGCGGCTGGCCCCCTGGGTTGGTGACCTGGGTGGCAGCACTTCGGCTCCTGCAGTGCTAAGCCTCTTGTGTGCAAGGTCAGGCCCCCCGGCTGCGCCCTTGGTTCTCGGAGTAGGTGGCAGTGACCGCGTGGCCTCTGCCCAGGTGCAGGCAGGTGCGGCTGGAGCCCAGGGCTGCCTTGTTGGCCTTCTTGGTGGCAGGAACCCCATACCCAGGAGGTGCAGCTGCGTCTCCCTCTTGGCTGTCGGCAGCATAACGTGACTTGTTTGTCCCCGGGCCAGGAGACTTCCTCTCCCACCCTGTGCACCTGGTGGTGGGTGTCTGCCGGAAGGCCTGGGTGCCTCCCGAGCACGGGCCCCCACCCCCAGGCTGGTGGCGGCTGAGCCTGTTGACCCGTCTCCTCCCTCAGGAGGCAACACTCGGGCCACGGGCATGTCCCTGCAGTACTCAGCGCCGGGGTCAGAGGGCGTGACGCAGCTGAAGCTGACTGCAGGGGAGGACGCCAGCGCCAGCAGGCGGCAGTCCGTGGCCTGGCTGGCGGCCATGCACAAGGTGAGGGCAGGCCCCCGTCCCCAGGGCGAGCCCTACCTCCCACCCGGCTGGGGCGATGTCCACCTCCGTCCGCTCCAACGCAGCGCAGGGCCAGTCCCATTTCTCTGCGTCTGGTTGCCTTGCAGGCGGCCAAGCTCCTCCACGAATCTCGGGACCAGTAACTGCTCTCAGGCCGGCCGGCCGGCCACTCGGCAGGGCGGAGCCAGCGCTGTGTGCTCCCCAGCGCCCCCTGTGCTGGGAAGATGGCACAACCCTGGAGGAGGGGACGACCCTGGAGGAGGGGACGTGCTTGCCCACCTAGTGCAATACGCACGCTGTTTGTTGACGCTCCCAACAGCTTCCCGCTTTAGACCCGTCTTTTCTCGTTGGCACGTAACTGGGGTGGGGGAGGCCCCTGCACTACCGCTGAACTGTTTGTAGCGTCAGCTCTGCCGTGCTTGTGCGAGCGCCAGGCTCACTAGTGGGTCCTGGCCCCTCACTGCATTAACCCCCACGGGGGGGCGGTCTGCGCTGCGGCCGGCCCGGCCCAGACCCCAGGCTCGTCCCCACAGCACTACTTTGGGGCCACGGACAGACCTTTGATACTTCACTACGGGCGAGGAGCCAGCTTTGTGTTTCGTATTTTTCACTAACCATGTCACTTTATTAAAATAATTGTACAACAGTTTGTATATACAGCTTGATTAAAGCCTATTTTGAAAATACGAACCAGGCCTCGCCTCACTGCGTCCGGACCACTGGCGTCCCTGCGATGGCTCCGTCCCGGCGGCAGAACACACGACCACACGACTCGGAGCCGCGGGGGAGACAGCAGTTTATTGTGCCCACTCACACGGCGCGGGCGGGGGCTGGGCCGCCACCACCGTGCGGTCAGTGCGGAGAGAGAGCCGACCACAGCCGTGGCTCCGCGCACACGCTCACACCGAGTGCACAGACTCCTACACGGAGCACACGGCCTACGGCCTGGACTCGGTTGAGAGGAAGAACACCTCCGACGTCTCTGGTCCCCTCGAGTGGTCTAGTCAAAAACACTTCCGGTGCGTGAAAGCCCGAGCGTACCACCAACGTCAGGGGCCTGCCTTGCTCTAAGTACGGAACGGGGACAGGGGTCACTGCGTCCCGGCTGGCCCAGACGGGGCGGCTGAGCCCCACCCTCGTGCCCCACGGCTGCCCCTCCTGACGTGCAGCAGGAGCCCCCATGTCTGTGCCACCCCGAATGCCCGACCTCAGGCTCCTTGGCCCGTGGGCCGCAGGGTCTGCCTGCCCTCGGAACGGCGTCGGCCCCGAGAGCGTAAGAATCACCTGGGCGGCAGGAGGCTGCGGAGAAGGCAGCTGTGAGCACAGGAGGGGACGGTGCTGCGCCGAGGCTCCTGGCCACAGGCCACTCGGTCTGAAGGGCTCTCGTGCCCGGGGACTCGGAAGTCCAGCCCAGCACCACCAGCCGGAACAGGAAGTGGGGCCCCGCACCAGGACCACCACTGGACAGGGGCCCCCTACAGGCCTCCTCTGGTAACGGGAGGGGAAACCTGGGTGCAGGGGGGACGGGACGGGACGGGACGGTGGGTGTCTGGGACGTGCAGTAGCCGACGGCAGGGCTCCCGCGGGCCTGTGACCCCAGGGCAGCTGTGCAGTCTCACTGCTGGGTGAGTGACGTGGAGAATGGGGCGGCCGCGGGGCGCGTCAGTAAGGGCGTTTGTCTTCATTGGCAACCAACCAGGGGTTAAGTCTAGGGCTTCTGTGGGCAGCGGGGGCGGTTCAGGAAGCTGGGCATTTATTTGGGTTTACAGTGACTGGCGGAGTCCGGTCCCCAGAGGCGACGGTGGAGACCCAGCCTCACCTAGAGCCTGCAGGGCCTCACGTCGTGGGGCTGCCTGCGCCGTGGGTACCACGAGAGCCCCTCGGCCCCCGCCTCCCCGGCAGCGGCTCCTCGGGGATGGCCGGCCCCGCGCTGCTCCAGCGGGAGGCTCAGGCGAGCGTTCGCTGGCGGGGTTTGATCCGAGGGTACAGCTGGGGAGCCGGGAAGACGCGTCAGGACGAGGCGAGGACACACCGTGCGCCCCAGTCCGCACCCCTCCCTCCCACAGCACCAGGTGCCACCCGTACAGCACGGGCCACGGTCCGTCCCCCCGGGCAGGTGCCTGGCCGGGCACAGTGCTCGCGTTTCTGGAGCGAGGGCTCTGCCAGCCCCACCGAGGCGGGGGCGGCTGCAGGGCTGGAGTGGGCCCAGACGCGCACCCCTCCCCCCCAAGGGCATTTCTGGGCCTCAGAGCGTTGTGACCAGGGCCGACTCGGCACACACACGAATTTGCAGAGGGTGCCGAGGCGTGGAGCAGGGCAGCCCCGGGCCCAGGCCCCCCAGCGGGTTGGGCCCCACGCCGCCCAGTGTGCAGGCCTCGGGAGCAGAGGCCGGAGGGAAGCAGCAGCAGCAGCAGCAGCAGCAGCGCGGAGGCAGACCCGGGAGGCGGGCAGGGCACTCACCCCCAGCAGGTTTCTGGGCACGTAGCCCTCGCGGTCCCCCAGCCGAGCCCACCACCACTCGGTTTCGTTCTCGTCCTTGCGCCTCAGGACGGTGATGGCGTCTCCTTCGTGGAAGGACAGCTCGTCACTGCTCTGGGCCTCGTAGTCCCACAGGGCGTACACCACTCCCTTGTTCATCGCGCCCAGCTTCTCCTGCACCCCTGGGGTGGGACAGCGCATGGTCAGGCCTCTGCAGGCGCGGCTGCTGAGCCCGCCGCGGGACCCGACCAACACGCTGCCGTGCCCGGGCAGCCCAGTGAGGCCGAGGGCTGAGGGGTCGGAGGCCAGGCCCAGCGCCGCCCATGGCCTGCTGGTGACAGTCTTTTCTAGGCCCCAGCAGGAAGGCCCTGCCACTCACCGCGGCCCTGCGTCCAGAGGCAAAGGGACACTGCCCCAGAGGCATGTCGGGGGGTGAAACAACCCCACCTGGAGCAAACCTCCCAAAGCCAGGGACCGAACATGTGGCTCCCAGAGGGCAGGAGGCACACACGCACGGCAGCGAAGGGGCCAGTCCACGCCCGGGAGCCGCCACGGGGATCCCACGGAAGGCCGGACATGCTGATGACCCGGGTACTGCCCCTCCCAACTCGGCAGCCACTGTCCCCCAAAGGGCCTCCCCAGGCTTCTGCCACCTCGGTGCTCGCAGCTGGAGCTGAGGGGCAGTGCCTGTTCTGGGGTCCAGCAGAGGGCTGGGCCCACAGGCCCCTGCCCGGTGCAGATGACAGGCTCCCTGCAGACAGCCGCTCTGGCCCCCGAGCGGCTGAGCCGACTGCAGCAGCTTCGCTAAGACCGGACGGGCCCCTCACCGTGGTCACCGCCCCGGCCTGACCCTGGATGCCCTTGGCCCCGCCGCAGGTCCCGGGAGCCTCCCGGGGGGGGTTGGAGGGGTGTGGACGGCACTGCCCGCGCACCCTGCTCTGCGGCCCAGAGGGGCTGCCTCTGCACAGAGGCAGGGAAGGGGCTCCCGCCAGCACGGGTGTTCAGACACACCTCAGGAGAGAGCCTGTGGACAGTGAGGCCTCATCCGCCTGACGACCGGGCTGCCCCTGAGGTCAGGCTCGGGCGCGGCCCGGCCCAGCAGCGGCGCAGTGCCCGCACGTCACACCGCGCCGGGAGGCCCGGGCCCACGTACCGTACAGGAACTGGGAGCACTGGATGTAGCCCTCCTCCATCTCCTCGCACTTGTCTGCGGCCGTCTCTATGTCGCTGATGGTCGAGGCGAAGATGGCAGCGCCGCTCTCCACCAGCTGCTTGCAGAGGTGGACGCTGTTGCAGGAGGCGGCGCAGTGCAGCGGCGTCCTGCGAGGGGTCGGGGGGAAGGTGCCGCTGAGGCCAGCCAAGCCCATACGGCGCCTCAGAGCCTCCACGTTCTGGGCTGTCCCTTTTTGGGTGTGACTTCTCCTAAGGAGCTGTCCTGAGCTCCTGTGAGCTCCTGAGGGGGGCGTGGTGTGGCCCGTGGAACGGCCTGTGAAACACATGTTCACCGCACTACAGCGTGCAGGGACTGCCCACTGCTGACGTGGCCCTTCCAGTGGCCACGATGGTACGAGTTACGTGTATTGTACCAGGGAGAGACCCAGGTGTTCCAACACAGCAGAGCGGACAGCTGCCTGAAGTTGGCAACGGCCCCTGCAGGTGGCCACAGCCTGCACAGGGGCACAGGGCCCCGCAGTGGCCCACACGAGCCTTATGCCAACCACAGACGACCCGGCTGCTCACACACAGCTGTGAGTTGCGGCTGCAGTGCACGCAGCTTCCACGTTAACAGTTGGCCACCAGAGCAAACCACAGCTGTGCCCTTACCAACAGGCTCCAGAGAACAAAGCTGGGCTTATGCTGGGAAGCACGGGAGGAAAGGTGGCACCCTGGGCCCCCCCCACGCCCCGTGGTCGAGACTCTGCATTTCCCTCCGGCACAGTGGGCGGGGCTCACCAGCCATCGCTGTCTGCGGCGTTCACGTTGACGCCGAAGTCCAGCAGGAACCTCACGATGTGGTGGTGGCCAGCGCACACGGCGTTGTGCAGGGGGGTGATCCCTTCGTCGTTGGGCTTGCTGGGGTCTTCCACCTGGGACACAGGGTGTGTGAGCCCCGCCCTGCAGACGGGGAGTGGGGGAGTGCAGGGGCGGCCGCTGCGCCCAGCTCACCTCGTAGATGATCCTCTGCACCAGGTCGAACTCCCCCTCCAGCGAGGCGTCCAGGAGCAGCGCCAGTGGGCTGAAGCGGACACGCAGCCCCCGGCCCGTGCGCTCCGAGTTAGGCTTCTTCAGGTTGGTCCGTTTGCTCTGCAGAAAGGAGGTGGGCCTTGATTTACAGGTGACCGCCCTCGAGCCCTCCGTGGGGACGGAAGCCCCCGCCCCTCTGCAGCAGCAGGGAGAGCAGGGAGCCAGGTGGGCGACTTCGGGCTTTGTGACTCCGCCCAGCCCCAGGCGGGCAGCTCCTCCCCGCCGGCTGCGAGGGAGTGACTCTCAACCCCTCTCTGCTCCATCAACACGGACCTCCCACCGGAGGCCTCTGTCTAGAAGGTTCTCCCCCTCACTGACCCCTCCCAGGCTCCAGCGGAAGCTTCCCCTCCTCAGGAAGCCTTCTCGGGCCCCCCTGGCTGAGCCCTGCGGCCTGAGCCGCGCAGCCCAGCACTGCCCTGCAGAGCCCCGTGGTGTGAACCACCGTCTCCCTGGCCTGGCTCACGGAGGGGGGGCCAGTCTGCCAAGACGCCCACACCCGGCACGTGGCTAACACAGGCAGGTCCTCCACAGGCCCTGGGTGGCCATCGCCGAGGACCACACCCACCGTAGAAGCTGCTGGCCGGGGCACGGCAGGGGGAAGTGACGGAGGGACTTGCTCCTCCCCTGGAGACGGGGCCTCGGGCCCAGGGCTGGGGACCAGCTCCGTGGACGGGGTCGTGGCCACGTTGTTGTTGTTGTCCTCCGCGGGCTCAGCCGTTTGGCGGGCGGTCTGGGGACAGGTGAGCCCCTCGGGCTCGGGGGACGGGAGCTGGTTGTCATTGGCGTCCGAGGCGGGAGCGGGCTCGGTGGGGAGAGGGACCGTGGGCTGGGCGGGGCCGGCCTCCCCCAGGTTCCCGTTGGCGCTGGTGTTCCCGTTGTCCACGTCGGCTGGCGTGCCGGCGAAGTCCTGCGAGGGGCCAGGCTGGTAGAAGGGGGTGCCCTCCATGCCGCCGGCCAGCGTGTTGAAGCGCTGGTAGAGCAGCTTCTGGATGTTGGGCCCACCGGGGCCCTCGGGCTCCGTGATGGAGCTGCGCTTCTTCAGGGGCCGGGGCGCGTTGGCCAGCTTCCTGCGCAGGGCCTCCAGGTCGGCGTCGCTCTGGTAGCGCAGCGGCGAGTGCACAATGGGCGTGAGCTTGGTGGGGCTGAGCGGCCGGGGCAGGCTCTCCATGGTGCCCGCGGCGCCGTCCCCAGGAGGGGCCGGGCTGTCCTGCTCGGGCTCCTTCTCGGCACTCTCTGCTGGCAGCTGGGGCTGCGGCGTGCTGGTGGCAAGAGAACCGTGAAGGAACGGCAGCGGTGACGGGGACGTGGAGCCGGACGGTAAAACGGGCTTCCCGTACACTGCAGGGGACACAGGGGACAGGGACCTGAGCGCCCTGCTGGGCCTGGGGTCCTGCCACTGAGCACCCCTGGTTACACGAGGGACGGCCTGGCTGGGGAGCCCTGATTTAGACGCCAAACAAGCCCTTGGGTTCGAGGAGACTCCGTGAGTGGCCTTCGGGAAGGTGGGATGTCTACTTTCGCTACTTCTGCACCTGGGACTCCAGAATCAGGGCTTCCACAAAGTGAAACTTTAAAAGGCTGTGGCCCTGGCTTCCCTGCCCCAAACCCGCCCTCCTAGTTTTCCGGCCAAGGAGAAAGATGTCACCTCTGGACATGCATCTGACCCTCGGACTCAGTGGAACATGATGCAACACAGGCCGAGTCAGACAGCAGGGCATGCCTGGGGGCCCAGGGGCTCTGGAGAAGGGTTTCAGCTCTCCAGCACGGGCCAGCACCTGGCCTGCAGGTTCCTAGGCGCGGGGCAGCCAGGCACCCGCAGGAACCCTTGGACTACGAGTCTGGACGCTGTGGCAAGTGCCCAGGAGTGTCTGAGGAAGCCCAGCCCACACCCAGTGGGCAGGCCCCACTGTCCGGGCCAGAAGCTCCACTGACCTCGGCAGGTGTGGAACCTGGCCCCGTTCTCCGACCTGCCTTCCTGGAGCACCGTGGCCGCCAGGGTCCGTTTCCCCTCACCCAAATCAGGGCTGCTCTCCCCTGCGGGCTCCAGTGCAGACGCCCAAAGCAGCAGACAGCCCTTCACACGGTCGCCCCAGGGGTCTGGCTCAGCTGTGGCGGGTCCAGGCAGAGCCCCCGCAAGCTCTGGGGACAGCCCCTGCACAAGTCACCATGAAGCAGCGGGCAGAGGCCACTCGGAAGTCTCACCCTTCCCAGAGCTGGGGCTCCCGGGCGCTTGGACAGGAGGTCAGAGCTGCAGCCACCGAGCTACACAAGCCCTCCACGCACTCCTCCATCACCCCCGTCTCACACCACACCTGCGGCCACACCTTACCCAAGAATCGAGTTTAACCCTGAACAGCGTGTGGCCCACCTGGGAGGGCAGACTGGCATTTTCTTAAGTAGAAGTACAACTTCCTGGCCCCGAGAGGATGGTACAAACCCACTGTACCTGCTTTGACTGACTTATTTGCGGCGCTGTGCGCTGCTGGCTGGTAGTTCTTAGGCGGCGTGGCTTGCTGGAGGTACACAGAGTAGATGGAACTTGAATTCACTGTCTGGGGCCCTTTCCTGGGGGACTGTGGCCTGGACCCCTTATCAGCCAGAAAGGGCCTAATGGCCACAGTCAGCGGGAGTTCAGGTTTGCCATCTCCGGCCGGGAATGCGGGCGGCCCCGCGGGCGGGTACGTGGGGCTGGGAGGCACGGAAATCCTCTGCTGAATCTGCTGGGAGGAGCCCGGCTGGTGGGCGCTGCCCACGGCGGGCAGCGGGCCAGGCTTCTGCCGACCGGGCAGGCCTGCGCTGGGCCGGGGCAGGCTGCCCTCCTTTCTCCTTTCCAAGGAGTTCGTCGACCCTGGGCCCACGGGCGCAGGGCTCGGGTGCGTCCCGTAGCTCGGAGGCAGCTGCTTGCTGGCCCCGGGAGCGGGGGGCGGCGTTCTGCCCGTCTCGAGGCCCTGGATTCAGACATTAAGGACAAAAACAAAGTTATCCTTCAAAAAGTGAAGCATATTTCCATCCAGCACAGAGAATGCAAAGTAGGACTTGTTACCCTTCAAACTGGCTTGTGACCAGGCACAGGGGACCCTGGGGACAAAAAGCAGCAGGGCTGCCACCTGTCCCCAGCAGGACAGCCCCGACGGAAAGACCCGTGTGCCGGCACGCCGCCCGGTGCGTAGGGCCCACACACGCCTCCCACCTGGGTCTGGTCTGGACGCAAAGGGCGTGCTCTGCCTCGTCACCCCTCCCCTCAGCGCAGACGCGCGCAGACAGGGACATGGCCGGGGGGTGTGCCCCGGGGTCACGACAGCGGCCTACCAGCTTCTCCGGGGCTCCCAGAGCCGACAAGGGCACGGGCTGGCTGGAGACGGTGCCCTGCTGGAGGGGCCCCTCCGCGCTCGAGTCCGTCCGGCCCACGCTGGCGGTCTGCGTGGCTCTCCCGGCAGGGCTGACGCTTTGCTTCAGTGTGGGCCAGTTCCCGTCGCTCGCTGGAGAAGAACACGGAGTGTGAGAGACCTTGTCCTGACGCCTGAGGGGCCGGCCTGAGAGCAGCCCCGGCAGAGAGGGTAATCGCCCCCTGGACAGGGCGCTCTGACAGGGTGGCACTGCCCAGACCCTGACCGCCCTCCTTGCGCACCCGCGTGCCCAGCAGAACCGGGGGCCTCTGCGGGCAGGGCCTCGCCAATGCCCACCTGGCCCCCTGTGTGCGGCCTGCAGCGATGCCCGGGCCGGCGGGGGCCCAAGGCGCTGTGGGAACGGGAGGCTGGGCTGAGTCCAGGCCAGACCCGTCGCGTCAACACTAGTGAGTCAAACCAGCCCTGGCGCTCGTGGCTCAAACACACGCACACTCACACACAACAAGAAAGACTTCCTTCTGACTGCGCGCCAGGTTTGAGCTGTACGACTACCAGTGTTAAAAGGAAGATGCAGCTTCAAGCTGATAGAAATTTCTGTCCTCTATAACAACACACGATCACAGGAGGCTGTACCAGGTCCCACTGATTGGAGAGGCGGGCTACATTCCACTGCAGTGATTGGAAAGCCAGTCAACCCTGCATTTTTCAGGGAAGTTGCTGAGCAGCTACATTTTTACAGAGCATTGTCCAAACTGAAAGAGTGACAGAGCATGCCGGTGCCCAGCGCGCTCACAGCCGGCGGGCCGCGTGCCGGCCCTGACTCGCACTGCCTCCTCTCTGCAGCAGGCTTGGGAGCTGGGTGACGTGGTGAGCCCCCGGCCACCAGCCACACAGGGCAGCCAGGTATCCAGGGGGACCATCTCAGCCCTGACAGGTACCGTCTCAGCCCTGACAGGTACACCATGCCCCGGTCCCCGACCCCCTGCCACACGGGGGAGCCCTAGGGAACTCTTCCCGGCCACAGCAGCGTGGGGGCCGAAGTCTGTGACCGACGATGGGTCAGGGACTCTCAGGCACTCTGGGCTCGACCAGAGAGGCCACGGCGCACGCGGGACGAGCACAGCCTCTGAGCGATTGGCTGGGCCTGGGCGGCAGCAGCAGCCAGGCCAGCTTACCCTGAGGCCACACCCACCCTCCGCAGCGCAATGCAAGCCCTGTGTCTGCTGGGACGCTGCTGAGGCCCTGCATCGCTGAAAGCCACCCAGGCTCCAGGCAGCGCAAGGCCCTGCTGAGGCAGTCGGGGCCCCAGTCCAGACGTCACCTTGCTCAGTGTGGCCCATCAACCTACTTGAGGCCAGAAGTGCTTTTCCTCCCTGCCCCTCCCCCGAGACTGCCCGCTGTGGGCCAGAACGACAGGCTCGCCCCAGCGCACTGAGGCCGAGCCTCAGACTGACGGGAGACAGAACCGCTGCGGCCTCGCGGTGGCTTTCCCAGGCCCGCTGTCCGGGCCACTGGGAGCGTGGCCACCCAGCAGCTCCAGAAACCCATGTGAAATAGAGGTTTTACGGGAATTAGCCATCGGAGGACCAAGAAGAGACCAGGCATTTTCCTCCGGGTGAGGCAGGAGGTACAGGAGGAAGATCATTTATTTTTATCATGAAGGGACAATTATCTTCAGGTATGGAGATACCTGCACTGAAGATAAAATCAGAAGCCTCATAATGAACTCGGGAAATCATCTCAACTTGGGAGAAGGAGAACCAGAACCACCTCGCCGTGCCAGCGCAGCTCAGACCCCTCCCTGTCCGGCGCAGGGACACCTCTGCTCACGGGACCTCCTTCGAGTCTGCGCAGGAGGCGCGGGGCTCTCCCGGTCTGGGAAGCAGGCTGACTGCTGGCTGAGCAGAGCCGAGGAGGGCCGGAGCTACCCGCCAGGCCTGCCAGCACCCCAGGGCACTCTGTCGGGATGGCAACGCACCGGCACCATGCTGGGGCCCCGGGCTGGTCGCACTGCACGTGCCAGTGGGCCAAGGCCGCAGTGACCGTCTGTGGACTTTCTGATCCACGACAAGCTGAGTGGGGAAAGGAGCGAGCGGCCACAGTGCTCTGTGTATAGGACGGTCATGGTGGTAGCACACAGCTCCCAGGGGTGCCCAGAAGACACGGTGCCTCAGGGGAGACCGAGGGTGCACGCAGGACCCTCCAAGGACCTGCCCCACAGCCCCCCTCCCACTCCCTTCCCAGGAGGAGGGTCTGGCCACTTACCAGGTTTGGGCCTTCCGTGGGCGGCCCCCGAAGCAACAGTGAGAGACTGGGGCTTCACGGGGTCCCCCGGGGCCGAGTAGCTGCCAGCGCTGGGGACCTGGATGTAAGGCCCCACCGCAGCGACCCTGCCGGGGGTGCTCAGGGGAGACTGCGGCGAGGACGCGCCATTCACACGGCTCAGCTACAAAACGGGAAGAAGCGAGAGTTAACACCCAAGTCTGAACCGCTCACTCACTGGCCTGCACTGGGGCAGCTCCGTCCGTCTGGAAGACGAGTGTCTAAGCGGGGCAAGGTGGCACGAAGGGCCTTAACCTGCGGTCCTGTGGGCGATGCTCTCTGATCGCCCCTGTCGTGTGGGGGCTGCACGCACACCAGGTCTGTTCCCTGGGACACTGCCACCTGGGGAGCCCTCTCCCCGAGGGGGTGTCCCCTCCCAAAGAGGCAGCAGGCAGAGCCCGGGCCCCAAGCCTGGCTCCAAATCCTGCTCTGCCACGTACTTGCTGTGCAGCCACGAGCAAGTGCCTTGACCTCCCTGAACCTCTGCGCCCACGTCTGGAAAGTCAGGGTAAGTGTTGCTGTGAGGCCTGAGGGGCGGGTCCTAGAACCAGGCAAGGCTCTGACCAGTTCCCTGGGGGCAGCTGTGCTGTTCATGCTCGGCGAGGACGCCCGGCCACAGCCAGTGACACTGTCGCACAGCGGCCTCCACAGAATCAGAGTCCATCAGGGGATGCAACCAGAGAACCAGCGGGGAACTCCTCAGGGGTCCCTGGCTAGGTTCCCACGGGTCCCCCTGAGAAATCTTTGACCTCCTACATCTGTTTGCCACGTTCAGCACGCTCGAGCATGTCATTCTGGGGAGAGGGTCCATGCTTTGACAGCTGCTGAGAGGTGCCTGGGACCCATGGGCAGTGACAGATCTCTGCAGAAGCACCAGCCTCTTCAAGGAGAGGGCCCTGGAGGCACCAAGTGAAATGCACAAAGTAACATTCATCTAGTCGTTCGTGACGGCAATGGTTCCTTTTCTGAGTCGCTGTGGCTGGACGATGCACAGCATGCCCGACATTTGGACAAACACATCTAGACAGATGTTGCTGTGAGGATATTAATAAGTGAGATGAACATTTAAATCAACAGACTCTAAAGCAGACTGCCCTCCAATGATCTGGGTGGGCCGCATCCGATCAGTTGAGGGCCTTAGCAAAAAAAAAAAAAGCCTGATGTGCGTTCTCACCAATGTAAGAACAAGTCAAAAATAGCCCAGCCCCAGGTGGCTGGGTCGGTCGGAGGCCGGAGTGCCATGCTGTGCACTCAGTCAGGGTGCGAATGTTTCTCTCTCTCCCCACTCCTCTCTAAAATCAATAAACATCTCCTCAAGTGAGGATTAAAAAAAATAAGTAAACAATAAAAGCTCAACTTTTGCATAAAAAAACAGAAAGAGTGCGGCCCTCCGAGGCAGAGGAGCCCTGCCTGCAGACAGCCGCAGACTCCAGCTGCAGTGCCAGGGCCCTGGGCCTTCAGGCCGCCGCCGCCGCCTCAACCGCGCAGTCCGGCACCCTAGAATGAGTCCATCAGTCTCTTCCTCAGCACAAACACCCACTGGTTTTTTCTTTTTAATCCTCACCTGTGGCCATGCTTATTGATTTCAGAGAGAGCGGAAGGGGGGGAGAGAGAGAGAAACATCCATGTACAAGAGAAACAGTAGCTGGCTGCCCCTTGTGCACACTCCGACCAGGGACTGAACCCACAGCCCAGGCAAGTGCCCTGACTGGGAATTGATCCTGCGGCCTTTCAGTTTCTAGCACGACACTCCAACCAACTGAGCCACATTGGCCAGGGACGTCCACTGGTTCTGCTTCCACGGAGAGCCCGCCTGATGCACCAGAACAGAACGCTGTCCCGTAGGCAGGCACAGAGACTGGGCATGCGTCCTCTCGCGGCCTCTGTGCTGCTCCTTCGAGCTCAAGAGGAAAACCCTGACCTGTGATCCCAGAGTTCTGCAGATTCACCACTGACCTTCGAGCTCTTTGGTTAAAAAAACCCAGAGGTTTGTAAAAAGAGACTTTCCACCTGAGACCATTAATCACCACAGCCCCAGAACGGGCCGTTTCCTTCCTTCTCTAGCACCTCTCCACCCCACCCTACCAAAGGCCAGAAGCCTACGCCTCCCCCCCTAAGAACCGCCTTCACAGCAGCAGGAGCTGACAAGGACACTTGTCAAACCATGGAAGCCCACTTGCTGAGTGTGGACAGGAGACCTTGGGAGCCCTGTCCCAGCCAGCCAGGTGGCCCGCCCCAGGCTCCACCCCCAACAGCAGAGTGCCAACCCGCCCTGGCTCAGGCACCACTCCCCCCCCAGCCCTGAGCACCACCCATGGAGGAAAGGGGAGAACCACATCCAGCCAGAGCACACGGCAGCCCCCGATTAACCTCGCACAAGCTCTCCGCCCTGCACACGCACACAGAAGCACTGAGAGCAACAGCAAGACTCGGGACACCTGCTCGACAGCAGGGCTGGGCAAAGGGGCCACAGGCCTCAGACATGGGGTATTATACAGAAGTGACAAAAGAGATGAGGCAATGACCTGGAATGATACCTATGCTGTAGTTAAAAAAAAAGGCTAGGTTCAGAACAGTAAGAATGATGGAACTCCTACAATTCCATTTCAATTAAAAATTAAATACCTCCTGTCTGTATTAAGCAAAAGACTGGAACAATGAATAGCTATCATCCCTCAAAAATGAGCACAGGGTGGAAGGGACTTTCACATTTTTCTTTAAGTATCTCCATACTGTTTTAACTTTTTTTCAATGAGTATTTATTACCTTTGAAATTCAAAGTACCAAATAAAGATTTTTTTAAAGTGCTAACCACTTTATATAGAATTCTGCTCAAAAGTTTACAAAGCCCACCCTGGCTGGTGTGGCTCAATGGACTGAGTGCTGGCCTGGGAACTAAAGGGTTGCCAGTTCAATTCCCGGTCAGGGCACATGCCTGGGCTATGGGCCAGGTTCCCAGTAGGGGGCACATGAGAGGCAACCACGCATTGTTGTTTCTCTCCCTGTCTTTCTACCTTCCTTCCCCTCTTTAAAAATAAATAAATAAAATCTTTGAGTTTACAAAGCCCTTCTACCTGGGTTCTCACTAAGAAACCTCACACTGATTCCTGGGCAGGTAAGACAAATCAGTTTACAGCAAGGACACGAGGCCATACAAGGTCAAGGAATTTGCCCCTGTGACCCAGCTTAAAATGGCTTAAAATGGCAGAGTGCTGTGGCTGCCCATGGGGGAGGCCCCGACTCCAGACGGCAGAAGACAAACGCCCAAGAGCACTGTCTTCTGCTGCTGCTCTTCTGGGTTAGGGCCAGTTTACGTTCTGTCATCTGGGCGGACGGGGACAATGCCACTGCAGTGAAGACGCACACTTGTGCACCTCGGGGTTGAACCGACTGCGGGAGCTCATCTCACAGAAACACTCCCCCGGCCACGTGCCTGGATTTTCTTCCCGTAGAGACGCTCGCGCAGCTCGCTGATGCGCTTGTCCATCATGGCCACCTCCATGTTGCGCTTATTTAAAAGTTCCTTCTGCTGCTGCAGTTTTGAATTCTGTTCCTGGTTAAGCTGGTTACGAATCTACAAAACAGAAAATACAACTTTTGTGATTTGCATTAATTACAGTCAAATTCTCGTTGCCAGGGAAACACTGAAAAAAAGAAGAAAGAACTGAGCTCTCACACACGTTTGCACACACCCACTGTGGACGTTTACGGGTGCAGCACGGATGGAACCCAAACACGTTTCTGATGGAACCAAAAGAGGGTGCGCGTTTGCAAACCATGTCCTCTTCTGGGCGTACGGAGTGACGGGCACTGATGACTGTGGGCCCATGACCGTAGCCCTGGGGAGCGGACTCAGATGAGGTCGTGAGGATGGGGCCCCGTGGCGGGGTTCTTCCTGTGAGCGTCCTTATTAGAGGAGGAAGCGAGACCAGAGCTGTGAGGCACAGTGAGAAGGTGGCCGTCTACAAGCCAGGAAGCAGACCCCCTGGAACTGAGCCTGCCAGCTCCATGATCTTGACCGCCAGCCTGCAGAGCTGGGGGAGCTGAGGGTCCGAGGGGAGCCCCCGTCTGCAGGGCTCTGTCACGGAAGCTCCTGCCCGGCCAAGGGCTTACCAACAGGCACCTGTCTCATCGAAGCGGTTTGCACAGACACCTTAAATATCACCCGAAGCTTAACTCTTTACTAGCTCACTACGTTGCCAATCCAATTCTGGGTCGACTCTCTGTATGGCAAACGCTCAGTAAATAGGCCAGGCACAAAGAACCCCACGGGGCACGAGCCCGCACACTAGCAATGTCCAGAGAGCCGATCTGCAGACTCGGAACGAGATCTGTGATTGCTTAGGGGCCCTGGGTGGGGTCCGAGGGGACGGCTAAGAGATGCAGGCTTTATTTGGGGGCGATGAGATGTTCTAAAATTGACCGTAGTGGTAGATGGGGAACTCTGGGAAGACACTAAAACCACTAACTTGTACTTTATGTGGGTAAACTGCATGCTGTGTGACTTGTATCTCAAAGCTATTTTAGAAATTCCTTTGTACCGAATACGTTGGCGCCACTGTTGCATTTGAGTCCATCAGCCTGTCTCCAGCCCTGGTTCCCAGGCCCACCAGGAAACAGCGTGGAGGCCGGGCCCAGCCCAAGTTACCTGCAGCTCCTGGTACAGCCTCTTTAACTCCACAGCCGCCGGCCCCGCCAGCTTGCCATTGTAGGGCTGGAACCCGTTCAGCTTTCCCTTCTTCAGGTCCTCCAGCTGCTGGCTGAGCTGGTCGACTCGCAGAATTGCCGTCTGCACCTCCTGCTTCTTCTCCTGGAACATGGCGCTGAATCTCTCTATCTCAGCAGCTGCAATACCCCACACCAAGAGAGAAGGCCACCTCACTCCGCTGGCATTTCTTTGTCACGGAGTTGTTTATTTTGGGGGTGATGTCTTTTTCATGGCCACACATCTAGCTCCGCTCAAGCATCATCATCCCCGCCAGGCTAGCATGTGAGGAAGACTGTGATGTGCACGATCCTAAACTCGGGAGCATGTGGCAAACAATCATGTTTGCACTCACGAGTGAGTCTTCTTCAACCAGGGCAATCGGTCCCAGAGCAGGCTGGGTCAAGCCACTTGGGAGTCTCACTGCACCAAGAGACCGGGCTCTGTCACCACCGTCACACCAAGCAGGCACTGACTGGGTCCACAACAAAGGTAAAAAGGGAGCACCTGCATGGCCTATCTCAACCACAGACCACTTCCGGGCTGCTGCATCACGACAGCCCGCACGACGGGGTGGGCCGTGACGCCCAGGACGGCCGTCACAGCCGTGGCCAGGCCTCCTCCTGCCACACGGCTGGGGGACCTGCAGCGACCAGCGGCCCCAACCCAGCCCCCCAGCCCGCGCAGGGGACGGACCCAGCCTCCGGGCGCTTCCTACGCCAGATCTGACCCTACGCCAGATCTGGTGCACGCCTGGAGCACGCCTGGTACACGCCCGGAGGCTGGGCTCCGTGCCGCCTCTCCGCGCCCGGCGCGCGTGGGTGCGGGCGGACTGCGGCACTCACACAGGCTGCCGTTCATGAGCTTGCTGTAGTCCACCTGCCCTCTCATGGCACGGATCTTCTTCAGTTTATTCTCCTGGGCCTCCACGCGCTCCTTCAGTTTCTGGAGCTTCTCGTTTTCAGAAACAGACTGCTGCTGATGGCGCTCCTGCTGCTTCAGGAAATGCAGACGCTGCTCCTGACGAAAGAGGGAAACAGCTCACTTTGAAAACTGAAGTGGACCGCCCTGGCTGGTGTGGCTCAATGGACTGAGTGACGGCCTGGGAACCAAAGGGTCCCCGGTTTGATTCCCCATCAGGGCATGTGCCTGGGTTGTGAGCCAAGTCGTGCCCCCAGTAGGGGGCGCAAGAGAGACAACCACACACTGATGTTTCTCTCCCTCTCTCCCTCCCTCCCTTCCCGTCTAAAATAAATAAAATCTTTCCAAAAAAAAAAAAAGCTACAGATTTCCCTTATATGTGGAATATAAAAAATAAATGAACAAACTTGACAGAAAGAAACTCATAGATACAGAGAACAGACTGATGGCTGCCAGGTTAAGAGGGAATAGGGGGCTGGTGGAAAGGGGAAGAGGTTAAGAAGCACAAATTGCCAGTGATAAAAGCAGACACAGGGATGCAAAGCACAGCACAGGGAATACAGTCAGCAGTACTGCAATAACTATGGGGCCAGGTGGGCACCACGCTTCTTGGGGAGACCACTTCGTAGGGTGTACATGGTGCACACCAGGAACTAGCGTCATATTGCACGTCAATGGCAATTGGAAAATAAAAAAAGAAATTAAAAAAAATCTCTCTAAAGAGAAGTCAGTGAGAGCCCAGCAGTGACGTTCACATGCTCTCATTACAGCGGCTTCAGGGCGGTTCAGGTCATCACAGCCTGGAGTCATTTCCAGAAGGCGTGGGTGATGAGATGACTTGTTATATTTAATCCTTGACGACACCACGGTTTAGGGAGATTTTAAATCCTGCAGTTGCTGAGATTCAACAACAGATGCAGAACTCGTCCGCAGCGTGAGCGCTAACTACGCCCCACCATAACACCCCAGACCAGGGCCCTGCCAGGCGGCATCAAGGGGAGCCTGATGACTCAGCACCACCGGCTCTGGGGCCTGCAACTGGCGTCTTCAGCGTGGACGGCTGGCTTCCTCGTGGACACGAAGGGACCGACACCACCAGCCAAAGACCCCCACAGAGAAAAGGAGATGGCAGGAAAAACGTCCTTTCTGCACCTTCTATCTACGTGGAGCTAAGGCCGACCACTTCCTGGTGTGTGTGTGTGTGTGTGTGTGTGTGTGTGTGTGTGTGTGTGTGCACGCACACGCAGATGGGAGGCAGAGGTCCCTGCTCTGACACCACCCCACTTCAGGAGTGGCAGCACACTTCACGGCTACTATTTTGAAGGGGATGACGGGGACGTGGTGCTTCAGACTCCCGGGGCGTGGGTGTACTGACAAGTGTCACCCGAGAATGCACTCACCCCAACCTAAAGTAATGGTTGAAGAACTCACTTTCTGAACGCTTCTCCACTCTGCTTTTAAACTTACCTTGGCAACCAACATCTGCTGCTGATTCTCAATCTGCTGTTGCTGCCTGGCTGCCATATCCTGGAGCTCCGAGAGGGTCAGCTCAACACGCGGATGCCCAACCTGCAGGGGCGAGATCACACGCGGGCTGGGGGCCCTCGTCTGCATACCCGACCTCCCCGACCCGAGTGCCCATGGGAAGGTCTTGAACAGGTTCCCGGGGCCGTGGTGGGGTCTCTCAGTTGGTCAGGGCCTCGTCCCAACACGCCAAGGTTGTGGGTTTGACCCTTAGTCAGGACACATACGAGAATGAAGCAACACATGTGTAAGTAAGTGGAACAACAAATGTATGTGTTCTATTTCCCCTTTCCTCTCTCTCTCAAATCAAAAAATAAAAAAGTGAAATAAATAGGCTCCCTAGAAGTCAGGAGAGTACATATTAGTCTGTTTTCTCCTGAGAACTTTCCTAAGTGTTGAGTGATTTTATTCAATATAAGTAACAGTTTTGCTGATGGACCAGACCCCACATTTCCTAAGAGGCCCGGCACCGTGCAAAGCTCTGCAAACGTATGCTGAGGTGACAGCCCTCTTCGCGCTGGCTGGCTGGCAGCTGCGCCAGAGAAACTGGGACGTCAAGTGTTCAAGGGCACATGGATCTCAGGATGGGTGTTACGCCACTCCACCTCGTCTCGGGAAACTGGACATACAAAGACTATAAAACACAAATGCCTCGTTCACACACACACACACACACACACACACACACACACACACGGCCCACGCCGAGGACGCGCCCACGGCTGGCAGAACTGCACACAGAACACGCACACAGCTCGGTAATGGCCAGAGGAGCGGTAACAGGGGGAAGTGGGCAGCACCCCCATTCTCTGTGGATGACAGCAAAGTGGAGCATTTTCACTGTGCGCTTTTTGTGCTTTGTACAGAACTACGTGCTGTCCGTTCACGAACTTATGTAGGCCTCATGATAACACTGCCGGGTGGGTGCTATTACACCCCCACCCCACAGAGGAGAAACCGAGCACGGAAGCTCAGACGGGCTGCCAGTCAGACAGCTCACGCAGCAGAGCAGCACGCAGAGTCCCTGCCCTGGGCCACCACATATGCGCACTCTGCACTATGCACGCCCTGCACACACGCACTACTGCGCTAACGTGTTTACACTTGTGTCACGTCTTCCGAACAGACCTGCGTGTGGCAGGGGAAGGGACCTGCCAAGGGCCCGGAGCCGAGCACAGGAGCAGACTCCAGCTCTGGTCAGGCCTGTGCACCTCCGCCCCCTCCTGTGCCGCTCCCCGCGCGGGCGCTCGGTCCCTCGGCTCTCGGCTCCCTACACCTGGGAGTGTCTGTGCTCGCACTTCCCGCCACCCCCACCCCCGCCCTCCTGTACTCCGGACAGAGGTCCCACCCTGCCCCCCGACTCCAGTCTCCCCCAGACTTGACAGTGTTCGAGTGCACGCCTGACTCTTGGAAAATGGAATCAGACTTTGTTTGACAGTCTTAACGGACACCCCCACTCTGTGTGCCTAAGATCCTGAGCAAGCAATATGGACCGAGTATTGTAAACAGCCAAGTTACAGAAACTTTCATTTGAAAGAAATTTGTTTACTCTACAAAACAATGCCAGGCAGAACCACCAGAAACTCCCACAATTTCTGTCTTTATGCTTATAATAAAGGGTTGCTAATTTCCACTTGAGATGTTCCAATCACAATGAAAGGTATTTTTTGGAACCTTCAGAATGGCTACTACTTAAAAACTATGTCCACTCAACAAATCTTTCGATTTACATTAATTTCATAGTGGTACACATAAAGAATATCTGTTTGGTCCCCCCTTCCCACCAATGGCCGAATAACCATGTAGAGAGGACAGAGATCTCGCTCTTCGGCAGTCGGACACGGACGTCTGTGAGTGAGACAGAGCTCTCTGTGTGTGCTGTGTCATCTGCACATTTTCTCAGGATGAAACTAAGATACACCACGCTGTCCTAAGTAACTTCGGTATTATACCTTACATATGTAATAAAATTTCATTTGCAAGTAGATCTGACACACCGAAAACTGTACAAATCATAGTGTACAGCTCAATGAATTATCTCCAAGTAAACACACCTGTGTAATTTAATTGTATTTTAAGTGGCTTATAAAAACACAAGCAACCATAAACTATTAAGTCAACAAATATGCAACATGTCAGTACATATTCCCGTAATTGTTCAATGTGAAAATGTAGCAAAAAGCAGCACCTTCTCAGAGTTTAAGTAAACAAAACACTTGTGCAAATCCGACCCTCTGACCACGGGCCTATCATGCATTCTCTTCATGGAGACCCACCCCCACATCAACACCTTAGACTCTCAACACGACCCAAAAAAGTCCGAACAAACAGATGACTAAATTCCTTGCTCATTGCTTTTCATTGCATCTAATAAGAAAAAATCAAGTCCTGCTCCCTCGGGCACATCGAGGTCCCTCATTATAGGAGAGTCACCTGATGAGTTCAAGTCCAGGTCACAGGGAGAACAAGCCACTTCCAGGACGAGCGAATTAGGAATTAGTAGAGAAGTTCTCTTGGCGACAGCCGGCAGGCCCGTGCAAACACTTCTCCAGCCACCGCGGGCTCTGACATCCCTCCTGCGGGGGGCTCAGGGCTCCTTCTCAGGCCAGTGTTCTTGACCTCTGGGTCCCAGGGAGAGGCCTGCTGCCCTCCAGCCTAACCCCGAGAGCACCCAGGTCTCCGTGACAAACGGCCCACCCAACTCCAGGTCTTACCAGCTCCCCGCCTTCCGGACAGAGAAAACAGAAGACCCCTGCCCACACAGTAATCGCTTCTCTGGTCACATCGCCCCCTTCTTTCTGCACACGTCCACACACCTACTTGAAGAAACAGTAAGAGACTCTATACCTCTAACCCTCTAACACGCAACACTTTCACATGCAAAATATCAATACTAACCTAACAGAAAACTTACACGTCAGGGGCTCTCTAGCTAATGAGACTTCCAGACTCCGCCGGTCCCAGCTCACCTGGCAGGCACAGCACCTGGCCACAGCCTCCGACCAATGACCATAATCCACGAGTGCTGAATGGATTTACAAGGGACCCAGTGCTTCCTTATCTTCCCACCACGCCCAACCACACTCCCTGGGTAGCAGCATCTCTTCCAGCTCAGTGCAGCCACTGCCCCAGGTGAGACAGGAAACATCCCCGTCCTGCCAGAAAGTGCTCTGCTGTGCTCGCCCCTCCCCCAACCACTGGCCCCTCGTCTGGGATTTCACGCCGAAGGGACCCTGCAGAGCGGACTTCCCTGTGTCTGGCTGCTTTCACGGCACCAGCATTCCCTCCTTCCTACTGCTGAGCAGTGCTCGGGGGTGCAGGCAGACACATGTTGTTTATCCATTCCTCTGCTGAGGGCATCTGGGTGGTTTCCACTTTTCAGCTGAGGAATAAAGCACCTTGAACATTCACGTACCAAGAGTCACGTGGACAAACGTCTGGTTTCTCTAGGGTGGTCCACGGGGGAACAGGCGGCCGTGCGGCAGGGGCACGGAGACGGCCAGACGGTGTGCCGACGGGGCCAGGCCTCTCACACTCCCAGAAGCAACGTGACAGTCCCGGCTTCTCCACATCACTGCCAAGACTCGCTCAAACTTTGGTCATCCTCTTTTTAAATAAAATGTTAACCTCTTGGCAAAGAAAGCATTCCATATAAATGGTATTTTGATAAGTAATGAAAAAAAGTAAGCATAAAAATTAAGCTACCAATCCCACATGCACTTTGGGTAGGTTTCAATGCATAAGCTAAGCCCACGATTTGCCAACAGTTAGAAATAAAAAGGAAGCTTATTTCCCAGGCTAATGTCTCATTTGCACTAATGACGTGCATGAGTCACAAGGCTATGAAAATACAGCATGTGTGAAATACAGGTTATTTCCAAAAAATGGATCAGAGACCTCGATGTAAGAGCTAAACTGATAAAGCTCTTAGAAGAAAGTCGGAGGCAAGACCAGCTGACCCTGGCAGCTCACTGGACGCACAGGACTAAACCAGAAGGTGACTCAGGTTTGGGCCTGGCTGGCTGAGGGAACAGGGGACCGTGTCTCCAGAACCTCTGAGAGAGACGGGGTTCCCTGAGACGACTGTGCTGGCAGGCCTGGCCTTGGCTGCCCCCGGGACTTCTGTCTGGGAGGGCTCCCACTGTTCCCTAAACTGTTCCGAGTGGCCCACTGCACCCGGACTGTCTGCGCAAATAACACGCCATGTGAAGCACCTGCTTTCCTTCTGGGAGTCTGGAATTCTGGTACTTCCTAGGTAGAAGCTGCCTACACGAGCAGCTCCCAGCAGACACCATGGGCACTGGGCCTCCAACGAGCCTCCCTGGTGACACTGTCTCACAGGTGCCGTCACCGTGTGTTGCTGGAGGAAATAAGTGTCCCATGCAGCTCCACGGGGAGCGGACCCCAGGAGCCTGGGCCCCCGGTCCCGGGGACCTCGCCCCGGCCTTCTCCAGCGCTCATCGTGCTCTGTGTCCTCCCGCTGGAGGAAGTCACAGCCAGAGGACAACCAACCCTGCGTCCGTCCAGTCCTCCTAGTCAGCCAGCGACACTGGGGTGGTCTCGGACACCCCGACACAGGCACATGCAGTCAGAATCAGTCAGTTTGCCTTCACGGCACAAAGCCCCACCAGATCCTCACCACTCTACGGGACAAGTAAGTTTTGAACGTGTATGACGTGTGCGTGTGGCCTGGGGTTCCCAAACCCAGCAGGGAAAGAGTCCTAGGGAGAACATTCCGGACCCACCCCAGCCTTCTGTGGGGGCCTGGGCATTTACCTCCTGGACAGCTGACTCACTGACCTGCGGTTTTCAGAGAACAGGGCTTCCCCAGCCTCTCGGCTCAGCGGCCACACACAGGCATGAGTCACCGCAGCGCAGCCCACACACCCAGCCCTGCAGCTGCGGCTCGCCCGCTCCTGGCTGCTGCCCGCCCACCAGGCTGCAAGGTTCCAGGCACCATTACTCTGCCACCAGGGCACGCTCAAAACCATTTTTGGAGAAAGAAGTTCTTAATACCTTATTAGCTTTAAAATTGCACAAAAAAGTGTTTTTTGACAATGAAGTGCTTTACAAAAGTAATGTACTATTAGGCTTAAAAGGCAGGTGCGTGTGCCATAAAGTGCAGTAACATCTTTGATGTGATGCTTCCAGCACGAAGTCATGCCTCTGGACGAGCTCTCCACCTGCCTCTGATTACAAGTCACACGAAGGCTACGCACAGGTTTACTTCTGGCATCTTGGAACATAAACGCCGCCTCCACTTGAACGAGAAACAACGCCACCAGGAAGACAAGACCACAGGCCCGTCGGCTCAGACCTCAGTCAGAGCTCTCCGTGTCACCCTGGAGCCCTCTCCCCCAGGCCCCTTCCCTTTACCACGTGTGTTATCACGTGTGTGCACACCCCTCAACATGAAACCTCCTCGGTGTGCTCATTTCACCTTCCTTGGAGTTCAGGTCCTGGGAAGCCCTGTAGCTCAAAAGAATCGGCCACATTCAGCGGGACAGGTGAGTTCGGATGCTTGTGGCACTGTGTGCGTGTGGCCTGGGGTTCCCAACCTGGGGTTCCCACACTTGACAGGGCAAGGGAGCCTATGGGGGAACGCCAGACCAAATGACCCAAGTCCCAACAACAGCCTCTGGGTCTTTCTATCACAAGACTTTCTGAAGCAGATACACCCGGCAGAACCCCACACCCACAGAGGCTCTGGATCTGGAGTGGACAAGTTTGTCCGATGGCAGGAGAAGAGGACTTGAGGAATGACCCTAAGAACCTGGAGGGTGGAAGAGAATTCATAACCTTGACACTGGCAACAGTTCTCCTGAGTGGCACAAGGATCAGGACACCGGAACCAGAGAAAAGGAAATAGAGCCTAGCGTGTCACTTGGCTCTGCAGTAGATAGCTGCAAAATCTAAAGTAATAAACACGATTACACAGTTTAAACTTTACAGCCAACCTACAGACAAAGTACAAAAGGCTTAATTATAGTGAGATAACAGTGCACACACATCACCAGCCCTGGCAACACAGAAGTACGGCTGAAAGAGCTGAGGGGTGGGGAGGTGGGGGCGGGGTGCTGTTTAATATACGCATCTGAGAGGGAGGAAGATCCAGAGATATGGTTTAATGTTGGTAGAACAGAGAAACAGAGATTTAAGTATATCATTAAAGTCCCAATGGTACCCAATAAAGTAACTAAAATAGCACCTCAATACCAGTAAGCTGGGAAGTGGAGAGGCAATGCAGCTGGGTCAGCTTCCTAGGCCCCCACACTCCAGACCGGGGTTCTCTGCCAGTGTCTGGCTGTGCCACGCACTGAACTAAGGAAGAAGACTGCATACCTAGGTGGTGGCAGAACCGGAAAAGAAACTAATTTTCTAGCTTTAAAATTATTTGGCAAGTTACTACTAAAATTCCCAGGCCATGTTGAAAAATTTCCTTCCTGCTCTTTCTTTTAACACACACCAGCATTCCTTAAAGAGAACCCCTCCTACGTCCTCACCTGCACCCAGCGCTGGCCCTGTCTCCAGCGTGACACCTGTGACAGACGGAGCGCTCCCCCTGCACACAGCTGTGAAGAGGGCATCCGCCCTCTGGCCAGGCGTCTTTCCAAGTCGGACAGAAAGGTCAAGACACCAGCACGGGAGACACAGAGCCTGTCTGCCCGCTCACCGCAGCCTAGAAGCCGAGTCCCCCAGCTGCCAGGGGACGGGCTAGGGCCACACGCATGGAGGTGCCAGGCCGCTGCTCCAGGCCGCACTGGAGGGCATGGCTCTGCGGGACGCGACCCAACGTGCAGACTGAGTGTGCACCGGTGAGCCCACTCAGTGACTGCCTCTTCATGACTTCACAAAAATTTTGAAATAGTCAACAGAAATGATAATTTCTAGTAAAAAATAATTCTTTAAAAATAAAATGTAACCAAAACTAGTACTTATAAAAAGCATTTAAATAATTTCAACATAATTTGACTTGCAGCCAGGATGGAGGCATAAGTAGATACACTGTGCCTCCTCGCACAACCAAAGGAAGGACAACAAATTTAAAAACCAAAACAACCAGAAATTCCAGAAAATTGAACTATGCAACTCCAACAACCAAGGAGTTAAACAAGAAACACTCATCCAGACGGGTAGGAGGGGCTGGAAAGGGAAGTAGGGGGTGGGGGAGTAAGGGGGGCCAGGACTCACGACAAGGTGGCAGCTGGCGGGCAGTCCCACATTTGTGTGCAGATGAACCAGGAGGAACAACTGGGGAGCAAGACAGACCACTCAACCCAGGGTTCCAGTGCAGGGATATAAAGCCTCAGAACCTCTTGCTGTAAAGACCTGTGGGGGTTGCAGTGGCGAGAAAACTTCTAGCATCACAGGAGAGTTCGCTGGAGAGAGCCACGAGGTCCTAGAACATACACAGACCCGCCCATGGGGGAATCCGCACCAGAAGAGCCCAATTTGCTTCTGGGTCGTGGTGCCAGGTGACTGAAAGGTGGCTGAGAGCCAAGCAAACAGGACTGTTTCCCCTCAGACCCTCCCCCACATACAGCACCACAACGCAGCAACATCAGTTGTTCTGCGAATACCTAAGGCTCCACCCTTCACAACGTAACAGGTGCGCTGAGAGAAATAAATATGGCCCAAATGAAAGAACAAAACTCAGAAAAAGAGCTAAGCAACAAGGAGACAGCCAACCTATTAGATGTAGTGTTCAAAACACTGGTAATCAGGATGCTCACAGAAATGACTAAGTACAGATGCAAAACAGAGGAAGAAGTGAAGGCTATGAAAAGTGATATAAAGGAAAATATAGGGAACCAACAGTGATGGGAAGGAAACTGGGACTCAAATCAATGGTTTGGAACAGAAGAAACAAACAAACATTCAACCAGAACAGAATGAAGAAACAAGAATTCAAAAAGTGAGGACAGGCTTAGGAATCTCTAAGACTAAATGTTTCAACATCCAAATCATAGGGGTGCCAAAAGGAGAAGAGGAAGAGCAAGAAATTGAAAACTTACTTGAAAAAATAATGGAAGAAAACTTTCCCAATCTGGCAAAGGAAATAGACTTCCAGGAAGTCCAGGAAGCTCAGAGAGTCCCAAAAAAGTTGGACCCAAGGAGGAACACATTAAGGCACATCATAATTATATTACCCAAGATGAAAGATAAGGAGAGAATGTTTTTTAATATATTTTTTTGATTATGCTATTACAGTTGTCCCATTTTCCCCTTTCACTCCCCTCCACCCTGTACCCCCTCTCCCACCCATATCCCCCTCTTCAGTCATGTCCATGTGTCATACTTATAAGTTCTTTAGTTTCTAGATTTCCCATACTATCCTTACCCTCCCCCTATCTATTTTCAAGGAGAATCTTTTTTTTTAAGATTTGATTTATTTTTAGAGAGAGGGGAAGGGAGGGAGAAAAAGAGGGAGAGAAACATCACTTGCCTCTTGAGCACTCCCTACTGGGGACAGCAACCCAGGAATGTGCCCTGACTGGGAATCAAACCTACAACCCGAGAATCTTAAAAGCAGCAAGAGGAAAGCAGACAGTTACCTACAAAGCAGTTCCCATGAGACTATCAGCTGATTTCTCAAAAGAAACCTTGCAGGCAAGAAGGGGCTGGAAAGAAGTATTCCAAGTCATGAAAGGCAAGGGCCTACATCCAAGATTACTCTATCCAGCAAAGCTATCATTTGTAATAGAAGGGCAGATAAAGTGCTTCCCAGACAAGGTGAAGTTAAAGGAGTTCATCATTACCAAGACCTTATAATATGAAATGTTAAAGGGACTTATCTAGGAAAAAGAAGATCAAAACTATGAATAGTAAAATGAAAACAAACACAACTATCAAATGAACATAAAAAACAAAAGCAAAACAAACAACTTGAACAGGAACAGAATCACAGAAATGGATATCACATGGAGGGTTATCAGGGGTAGCAGGGGAAGAATGGGAGAAAAGGTACAGGGAATAAGAAGTGTAATTTGTAGTACAAAATAGGCAGGGGCAGCTCTAGCTGGTGTGGCTCAGTGGACCGAGTACCCACCTGTGAACCAAGGGGTCAGTGGTTCAATTCCCAGTCAGGGCACCTGCCTGGGTTGTGGGCTAGGTGGGGGCAAGTTAGAGGCAACCACACATTGATGTTTCTCTCCCTCTGCATCCCCTCTCTCTAAAAATAAATAAATAAAATCTTTTAAAAAAAAGGGGAGGTCAAGCATAGTATAGGAAAAGGAGAAGCCAAAGTACTTACACTTACGACCCATGGACATGAACTAAGGGGGGGGGGTGAATGCTGATAGCAGGAGGGTGCAGCATAGAGGGGTGTAAAGGGGAGAAAAAAACGGGACAACTGTAATAGCATAATCAATAAAATATACTAAAATCTATAAAAATTCCAATATAATTCACTGTTGCTTACCCCATTTTCAGTACGTTTTTCTCCAGGTACATTTATTACATTTCTCTGGGTCCTTTGCTCTTGGGTCTGACGGCCACCTAAGGAAATGAGAAGACCAAAGTTACTAAAACACATACTAGAAAAACAATGTTCACCCATTTTTTCACTTAAATACTTACTGAACACAAGTATAAACCACCAGTATGAACAACTCAAGACTCAGTACAGTTGAAGAATGTTTCACAATTCATCTGTGTGTGTATATGTATATATAAAAAGTTATTTAAATAAATTTTTTCATCTAACATTCTATTTCAGAATCTTGAAATTGACATATCAATAAGTTTCTAACACTTAAAAATGGTCAAAATAGTAACTTTTATGTTGTGTATTTTACCACATGAAATTTGTTATTACAATTTTTCAAGGGTTTTTATGTGTTGGAAGACTAAAATAGAACTTGACATCCATAATGAAAAACCTGATGCACAAAAGTGATCCTCACTAGCATTTTTTTAAACAGGCTTCACATGAGCCCTGGCTGGTATGGCTTAGAGGACTGGGTGCTGGCCTGCGAACCCAGGGGACACTGGCTCGATTCCCAGTCTAGGGCGCATGCCTGGGTTGCAGGCCAGGTCCCCAGGGGGAGGCGTGTGGGGTGGGACCGCACAATGCTATTTCTCTCCCTCTCTTCCTCCCCTTTCTTCTCTAGAAATAAATAAAATCTTTAAAAAAATGGCTTCACATTAAACTAAAAAGTTCTCCGCATGTCCTGTCATGTTTTCACAAAAAGGTACCAGGTGGGTCTGTAGTCACAGGCATGCCTGTCATCAAGGGCCTGCGCCCCTCCTCTCGCCTCCCCAGCTTTTACGTGATGCCACTCTGAGAACTGTGGCGCTCACCCACGCCAGCTTCATTACCTGGAGCACAGGGCTTCCAGGGCCATGAGCCTAGTGCTGAAGACAGACAGACGCACACTGTTTCCATTTCCTTCCTAGTGCTTTGAAAAACCTTAAGAAGGAAGGTACCGTGGAAGTACTGCCTCCCCTTGAACCCTGCGTTCTCAGAGAGATGGTGCCCCCAAGGGGCACAGGCCGGTTCTTGGGAGACAGAACACCCATTCTTCGTACATCAGGTGAAGGCGTACACAGTGCGCAAGCAGGTATACAGTAAACTGGCAGCAGAAGATGGAGGGACAAGAACAGAATCCCCCAAAGACAGGGTCCCGGGGGGGCGGCGATATGGAAACAGGCAACCGATCGATGGTTCTCTTGCACATCGATATTTCACTCCCTTTTGTCCCTTCCCCTCCAAGAACAAATAAATAAAAGCTTTTTTAAAAGGATGTGCATAAGCACAGGCAGAGAAGCAGAGCAGAGGGCAGAGCGTCACAGGTGGGGACGCACTGGGAGTCAGGGCAGGAGCGTGACTACACAAGGAAGGTTGCGGTGCGAGAGCGAGAGAAGGAGCGACCCCCTCGCACCTGCCAGCAGGGCTGCCATCCACGGCTCAGCAAGTGCTGGCGAAGACGTGGGGAAAGGAGCCCCCGTGCATGGTTGCTGGGGATGCAGACCGGTGCGGCCACTACGCAAAGCAGTATGGAGTGTCCTCAGAAAATAAAAAATGGAACTGTCTTATGACCCAGCAATTTCCACTTCCGGGCATTTATCCAAAGAAATCCAAAACACTCATTTGAAAGAGTACAAGCACGCCTATGTTCACTGCAGTGTTATTTGCAGTAGCCGAGACCTGGAAACAACCTAGGTGTCCATCAGTAGATGAGCTGAAAAAGAAAAGGTGGTCCATGTGTACAGGGGAATATTACTCAGCCACAAAAAAAATGAAACCTTACCATTTGCAACAGCATGGGTGGACTTAGAGAGTATTATGCTAAGTAAAATAAGTCGGAGAAAAACAAATACCATGTGATTTCACTTACATGTGGAGTCTAAAGAACGAAATAAATGAACCAGAAATAAACCCCTCAGAAACAGACTCATAGACACGGAGAACAATCTGAAGGTTGCCAGATGGGAAGGGGGTTAGGGGGCTGGGTGAAAAAGATGGAAGGGATTAAGTAGTACAAATTACCAGTTACAAAAAATAGTCACAGCACAGGGAATATACTCAATAATATTGTAATCACCATATATGGTGCCAGGCGGGTACTAGGGAGATAGCTTCATAAATTACATACTTTCGTTATGACTCCAGACAGGTCTCTTAAGTATCCCTAACACTTCTAAACTTTATAAACTGAGATAAAAAAACCTTCCCCCACCCCCCACCACAGGGCATTAAGGGTTATGCCACACACTGTATCGATAAACAAAGTACAACTACGCACAGCCAGGGAAGGGAGGCCGCACACACTGGGAGAGCCCGGCAGGGGGTTCACACAAACTCCTGGCACAAGAGCAGCAGCACTTCAGGGCTGGCCAGTGAACCCCTGGCAGGAGGATCTGGTGCACAGGCAGGGAGGGCCCTTGTCAAAGGGGCACGTGGATGAGAGCTGGGCCTGGAGGCTTGGTCTCCTGACCCCGGGTGACCGGCAGCCAGCGGAATAAAAGCCAGAAGTGACAGTGCGCTGTAGACACACAGCACGGTAACAGCAATGGCAGCTGTGGAGATGACCTCAAAGGAGAGAGCAATTCATCTTAGGGGCAAAATGTTCTTTAATATAAAGTACAAATAAAGAGATAACTTGCCTAAAGAAATTTTTTACAGCCCTGGCTGGTGTGGCTCAGTGGATTGAGCGCCTGACTGTGAACCAAAGGGTCACCAGTTCAGCTCCCAGTCAGGGCACGTGCCTGGGTTGTGGGCCAGGTCCCCAGTAGGGGGTGCATGAGAGGCAACCTCACACTGATGTTTCTCTCCCTCTCTCTCTCCCTTCCCCTCTAAAAATAAAGAAAATCTTTATTTAAAAAACCTTTTTTACAGAAGAATATCCTTTTGCTGTTTATTTTTTTAAATACCAGAAGTAATCCACAATCACTGTTAAATAACAAATTAAGGGTCTCTTCACTGTACAGTGTATATGCTTTAGATAAAAAGATGCCCTTTTTTGTTTAAATTTTAATTCAAAAAGAGGCAGTATATTCCCATGGTTCAAAACGCAAAAGGCACAGACGCACAGTGCGCAGCTCTCCCTCCCTCCCTGGCCTGGCAGCCTCCCCCGCACTCCCACTGGTACCAGCTTCTCAGTCCCCAGAGACGCCGCAGCCACACACAGCCAATATGGACATACGCAGTTCCCCGTGTCCCTGCCACACGGAAGGCGGCGCGTGTGCATGCTGCTCCCCATGGTGCTCGTTCATGCGGTGTGCCTGGGAGATGGTCGGGGCGCAGAGCCTCTTCTCTGCGGCTGCAGAGCAGCCCACTGCTCGGCGCACCACGACCCGTCAGCCCGACGCCCCTGGTGGGCACGCAGGCCGCTCCTGTCAGAAATGCTCCGTGGGTAGCACTGAGAGCACCCCACCTTCTGTGTGTGTCGGCACAGCTGCAGGGTAAGCTCTCAAAAGTGAGCTTGCTGGGTGAAAGGTTTTGCGCGCTTGCAAGTGGAACAGATGTTACCAAAGTGCACTCTGCAAAAGCTGCCAACTGGCACTCCCACGGCCGTGTGGATGCGCGCCCGTCTCTCAGCCCCCTCGCAGACGCTGTGTTCTTAAACGCTCTGATCGTCGCCAGGGTGGCCAGTGGAACAGAGGGTCAGTGTCTTCTTTATTAGGAGTAAGGCTGAACATCTTTTCATATAATCTACGGCTACGGTTACTTCCTTTTCTGAGAACTGCGTATATATTTGTATAGGTCGTTTTTTTTACTGGTTCTTTTGTGTGTGTGTGGAGCGGAATTTTTAAGAGCCCTTTACAGTGGTACCTTGGTACTTGTGGTCAATTGGTTCCAGAACTTGTGTTGAGTGCCGAAACTGATGAGTACCAAATGATGAAGCGTTTTTCTCTTGTGGGGCAGCATTGTGACTAATGTAAGTTCTAGCAAGTGTCATGAGTCCCAAGCAAGCACTGAGTCTGGAAACTTTTTTTTCTCATCAAAATGCAATGACTACAGGGTTTGCTGAGTTCTGAAGCCAACAAGTACCGAAGTATAACTGTCCATGTGACAGAAATGAGCCCTTAGCTAATGTGCTGTAAATGCTGTTTCCCAGTTGATCATTTGTGTTTTGAAATTGCTTAGGGTGGTTATTGCTATGCACACAGTTTTGGGGTTGTTGGGGTTTTTTTTTAATAATTCAGTTTGTCTTATCTTTTATGGCTTACTTAGCATTACACTTAGAAAGGTCTTCTGTACCATAAAAATTTTTTTAAAAAGCCTATTTCCCAGAATTCTTCTAATCTTTTCATGGTTTTATTTATTCTTTTTTTTTTCTTCTTCTTCTTCTTCTTCTTCTTTTTCTTTTTTTTTAAATATAAGGCCCTGCCCTAGGCTCTGGGCTGGAGTTTTGCTTTGTCTTTTTTTTTAATTATTTTTTAGTTTTAAGATTTTATTTATTCATTTTTAGAGAGAGAGGAAGAGAAATATCAATGTGTGGTTGCCTCTCACACGTCCCATACTGGGGATCTGGTCCATAACCCAGGCACGTGCCCTGACTGGGAATCGAACTGGTGACCCTTTGGTTTACAGTCAGGCGCGCTCAATCCACTGAGCTACACCAGCCAGAACAGTTTTATTCATTCTTTAAAAATGTTTTTTTTGTTTATTGATTTGAGAGAGAGAGAGAAAACAGCATTGTTGTTCCAAGTATTTATGCATTCATTGGTCGACTCTTTTACGTGCCCTGACCGAGGACTGAACCCCCAACCACGGTGTATCAGGATGATGCTCTGACCAATGGAGCTACCCGGACAGAGCATGGCTGCATTTATTCTTACAGTCTAGACATATGACCCATCTGGTCGTTATTGAAAGCCATCCCTTTAAAGAGCAAGAGCCCTCCACACAGGTCTGAGTGCATTACTGAACAGACCACAGGCCTGAGGAGGGAGCGGGGGCCGGTGCCCAAGGAGCAGGAGGGCACTGTCAGCCGCAGTGATAGCGAGACACCAACTCTCCTGCTTACCGCTGTGAGTGAAGGGAGAAAGAGTGTCAATAATACTTATTCCTATTTTTTTAAATTAACTTTTACAGCAAAAATGAACACATGGGGGAAAAGCACTTGTCTACCTTGTTCACTGCTCTCAGTTGGGGAATCCTCATGGCGAAGAAAAAATTTCACTTCTTCCCTTCGTGGCCCCCACTTCTGCAGATGCTCGTACATCATATGATCGAAGGGTATGGGGCGCTCTAGAAGAAAAACACAACTCATTTCTTCAGAAACAAACCAACTACTTCCTACCAAAAGTAAAAACTAAAAGTGAATGTAAATAAATATACATGCTTACTAGAATTCGGGAATGCTACAAGCACAAATTCTAACTTGAATGAAGTGAAAGCAGGAGTATGACTGGGAAGTGACTCAGGCGACCACTAAGCACAGGAAGTAAACACAAACGCAACTGTCCGGCATTACACGGGAAACACCGACAAACGCCCTTCACAGCACTTCTCGGGAAGCGGTGAGCCTCCCCCTCTTCCAAGGGACCCATCAAATCCCTTGTTGCTCCCTGAAATGCGCACGTGGTAACAGCACGTGGAAAGGGAAAGGGCACACTTCCTGGCAATTCGGTGAGCCCGCACAAACACTTGAACGTGAACATTTGCAGCGGCATCATTCAGTGGCCAGAAAGGTCAGCCCTGATGTCCCTTAACTGAGGCATGAAGGAGTAAGATGTGGTGATCAGACAATGGCTGTCCCTCAGCCAAGCAGCAGGAACTAAGCACTAACACACTCTTACAGCACGCACGAAGCTCGAAAACGTTATTCTAGGTGAGAGAAGCTAGACAAGAGGGGCGCCAAGAGTGCGTGACCCCATGCCGGGGGGGGCACTAGAACAGCAAATACGTAAAGCCAGAAAGCAATCCAGTAGCCGCCTGGCTCTGGGGGAGGAGGGGACAGGGAGGTACAGAGACTGGTCATGGTTGCACAACACTGCGAGTGTCCTAAAAACCACTCAATTTACATTTCAAAACGGTGGTTTTTATCTTATATAAATTTTATCTCAAAGGGGAAAAAAAAAGGAAATCTTGAAATATTCCCTCTACCGCTTGTATTTGAAACTGAGGAAGGACCCCTGGCTGATATGGCTCAGTGGGATGGGCAATGTCCTGCAAACCGAAAGGTTGCCGGTTCAGTTCCCGGTCAGGGCACACACCTGGGTTGCAGGCCAGGTCCCAGGTTGGGGGAGTGCAAGAGACAACAATCAATGTTTCTCTCCCTCCCTTCCCTTTTCTCTAAAAATAAATAAATGAAATATTTTCAAAAATTAAAAAAAGAAAAAAGAAAGTGGGGAAGGATTATCAGCAAACCCTGAAGCTTCTAGAAAAGTCTGGGAGTGGCAGCGCAGAAGCAAACACTATCTTTTCTCCCTTCTGCTCACTCCGACACCTTGACCTTCCCGCAAGAGAAAGGACTCGGTGAGCTGCAGTCCTGTCACACGTTCTCGAGGTCCTGGGTGAGCCCAGGATTTCCATAAAAAAGAAGATCCTGTTGTTCGCAGACACGTGCACCCCATATGCTGCTGCCCTTTCCCCTTCCTGCAGGCGTAGGCAAGCTGGAGGGCACTTGAGGGCAAGGACAGAAATGGTCTCACTTCTGCTGAAAGTGACAGATGAATAGATAAAGAAGGTACGGTATATGTATACAATAGAATACTACTTGGCAATAAAAAAAGAAACAAATCCAACTATTTGTAACAACATGGATGGACCTAGAGGGTGTTATACTAAGTGAAATAAGTCAGATAAAGACAAACACCATACGATTTCACTTATATGTGGAATCTAAAAAACAAAATAAGTGAACAGAACAGAAGTAAGCTCATAGATACAGAGAACAAACTGAGGGTTGCCGGATGGGAGGGCTTAGGGGCTGGGTGAGGAAGGCGAAGGGACTGAGACAGCCAGTCACACAGTCAGTCCCAGGGACGCGAGGTTCGGTTCAGCGTGGGAATGTGGTCGGCGCCACTGTGATGACCACGTGGGAAGCCGGGCGGTGACCAGTCTGTAAGGAACGAAGTGTCTGATCACCATGTCACATGCTGAAAACTAGTATCATATTGTATGTCAACTATGACTAAAACAAATTGTGAGAAGCAGTCACGTCGGCAGTACCCGTCTAAAACTGGGACGAGACAGAGAAGACTGGCGCAGCCCTGTGCGAGGTAACACTCTAACAGGGAAGCTTTTCACCGCATAGTTAAAACGTGCTGGAAGAGCAGATCCTGACAGTTCCCACCACAAGAAAAAAAAACTCTGTACTATGTGGTGATAAACGTGAGCCGGACTTACAGTGGTGGTCATTTGGCAACACAGGCAAATATCGAACCATGCTGTGCACCTGAAACTAACATAATGTTGTCAATCCCACCTCAACGTTAAAAACGTAAAAGAAAAGTCCAAGTCAGATGTCACTGATTATCCCTGAGTGCCCTTAGACGTGTCCCTCCGGACGCTCACCCACTTCGTCACCACCTCAGACTCGGAGTGCTGCCGCAGGTCACTCCCTGACTCTCCCACGCCGGCCTGGCGGGCTGCACAGTCGCCTCCTGCTACGTAAAGGCTGCCCGCAGCCGAAGCCGCAGGCCTTGCGGGGGCCGGTCTGGTCTCTACCCTGCTGCTGCCCTCCCTCAACACTGTCTCAGGAGCACACACACCTTCTCTTGCCCTCCCTTCCCACTGCTCCCCTCGCTTAGTGTATCCTGTTCTATCTAAAGTCAGCCCCTCCTTTAAGAGTCCAAATTATCTGGCAGAATTTTCTGTGCTCACTAGCCATATTAGCCACACTGCCCAGCTAGCTGACAGTCCTTAAATGCAGCACCGGCACTTACTCTTCCCACTTCAGTAAGCACACATTTGTGGAGGGCCTACACTTTAAAGACTCTCATACACAGGGAAACAATGTCTCTGCCTTCGTGAGGTTATCACGGGTAAAAGAAGAGCAGATGAACAACTCAACCCGTAACTGACACAACACTGTAAGGTCTCAGGGGACAGAGATCTTGGACTTGGCCGCAGTGATATCAAGGAAGGCTTCACAGAGCCCTGGGTCTCCCTGCCCAGCTTACTTCAGATGGCTGCAGTGAGGGTCAGAGCACACGACATACCTGTTTAAGACCAGTGTCTCTAAACCCAGTCTCCATCTAGTATCATACCAGTTTTTACTTTGATCGCCCAACTCCTTATTGCCACAGGTAATGGAGAACTAGGAAAAATGTGGTACACTTGATGAACAGTTTGATGTCCTCAGTGACCTTTACAGGGTCCCACACATACCGTTTCCCCTCCACACTTCGGCTAAATGGCAACCACCTTCTCCAGGTTCTTTGCAAAATTCCACAACATCTCGACACGTTGTTTCTGGTGTTATGGGAACTTCCGTTAAAATTTGTTCATTGTTGCTCAAGAACACAGTTAATATCATCTGTAAGAGAAAAGATTAAAGCTGCAACTTAGAGTCCTTATCAGGAAGAGATTAATCTGCAAATTGAAAGTAATCCCCCACCTCCTCACAGACACTCCCACCCACCCCATCCCTGCTCCCACCAAAACGCCTACAGGATCAGTTTTGGGAAATACAGAAACTGATTCTAAAGTTTATGTAGGCCCTGGCTGGTGTGGCTCAGTGGCCTGAGCACCAGACTGTGAACCAAAGGGTCGCCAGTTCAATTCCCAGTCAGGGCACAGGCCTGGGTTGTGGGCCAGGTCCCCAGTAGGGGGCGTGCAAGAGGCAACCACATACTGATGTTTCTCTCCCTCTCTTTCTCTCCCTTCCCCTCTCTGTAAAATTTAAAAAAAAAAATCCAAATAAATAAATAAATAAATAAAGTTTATGTAGAAAAATTAAAATGTACAAAAAGTCAGCAAAGTTCCGAAAGAGAAGAGTACTGGGAGGGGACTACACTTCCTGACATTATAAAGCCTCCAAACAACACAGCGCCAGCAGCACACAGATCAATGGGACCAATCATGAAGACCGGGAACAGTAAATGGGAAACGATGGACGAAAAGACTCCACGATGAACGGTGTCTGAGCAACTAAACCACCACCTGGAGCAAAATGGACTCACACTGCACATCACATAAATATTTAAATATAAATCATAAAAATACGAAAGTTCTGAAATAAAATGAGGTAAATTCCTTTTTATAACTTTGGAGTACAGAAGCCCTTTCTAACTATGGCTCAAAACCCAGACACCATTAAAAAATTATATATTTAGGCAATTAAATAGAAGACTCTTTTACAAAGCAAAAAAAGACAAGCCGGGGGAAATATTCTCAACTCATATTACAAATAAAAGGCTGATCTCTTGGGCAACATACAAAAGACTCCTAAAATTGTTAACAAAAGACCAAAAATCCATTATTTTTAAACTTTGGCTAAGAAAATAATGTATCACAGTAAAAGAAATGCAAGTGGCCCTAAAATATAAAAATACATCACAATATATTCAAAAACATTAAAAATAGAAATTTTCCAGCATTTTTTTACCTTTAAAAAATCCTAAGAATTTGATTGATCTAAGATCTGAGGAGGTCATGTTGGAAGGGATTAAAAAAAAAAATCTCGAAAACACATAACTCTTAAAGTACTATTTAAACCAAAGATTTTCTTTTCTCAGACAGCATTATAGAGCATTGCTGTTCAATCTTTGATCAAAATCAGCGAATAAAAATCATCCCCTAACTTTTCATCTTAAAATGCTTTCCCTTAGAAGAGCCCGAAATCCCTAAGTTTTGAGACTGGACATCTCTGTATCTTTGGGTCAGATTTTACTTAGCAGAAACTGACCCCAGTTATGCGCTGCTCTGGCCAGTCTGCCCCCGCAGCAGCAGCCCCCCCTTCAGCGGCACCAGCCCCTCACGTGAAGCCAGTGAGGTCGCTCCCTCCTGAAAATGTGCGTGTTCAGAAGCTCTGCACTGCTAACAGAAGCCTTTCCCAAGACATGTTTTTCGGGAGCATGAACAAGAAATTGGTGTCTCTGCCGAGCCCTCGGAGGCTAAGGCTGTCCTGCGCACAGACTCGCTCCTGCCTGCCTCGGGGGCTCGGGTTCCCACAGCACCCTCTCCGAGGACGCCTGGCCTGCGGGAGAAACCGCAGACTCCCCCCTTCCTCGCAGCCCCCAGCCTTCAGCCCCAGTGCCTGCCCACTCTGGACCTCGGCTGTGCCCCCTCAGCTCCAGTCCTGGCCTCCCAGGCTGCTGTCCCTCTCTGCCTTCCTGTTGGCCTGTAAACTCCTCTTCACCCTTCAAAACGCAGCTCCTATGCTACCACCTTTGCCAAACCTCCCTTTGCCACCTCTCACCAGCGAGGACGGCGTTCCTTCTCTGGGACTAAGAATCTCCACGTGCGTCTTTATGACATCAGAGCATGAACACGGCCCCCTCCCTTTGCTGGGCCTCTGCCCCTTCAAGCAACCCACTTCCAAATCCCCCACCGCCCATCGCCTCATCGACATCGAACGCATGGCAGGCACACGAAAGCCTGGGCGTCTCCGTGAAGACCACACAAATATAAAGCCCCCGCCACGCCACAGCACGGAGCGGTGCCGCAATAACCTAAGTGACACGCCACCAGCCTGCTCAACAGGCAAGCATTTTTCCTTCTGTTCTTCTCAGATGCCATAAACACATTTCTATTTTATAAGAAATTAAAGTTACTTTTGCTCACTAACCTATAAGAGAAATTTATATTAAAAAAAATGGGGGGCATCTGAATATTGAAACAAACGGCCTGGAATCTGTAGAACTGGGAATGACACAGTAATTCCTAGATTCAGTGCGAACAAGTCCAGACTGAAAGGGCCTTCTTCACGCTCGAAGTCCCACCAGAATGTCAGGGACATATTTTTACTCCTGTTCACACAGTTATTTTATACTTCTGATGGCGAATGTCTTCACATGTGAGTTCACAGCCCAGCTTTCCCAGATCTTGTATTCCCCATGCCATGCCTTCTACACCCAGAAGTCAGAGGAACCACCGGCGCCCCTCTCCTGTGAGTGCGGCACTGCCATTCCCTGGGCTCGGCCCTCGCTCCCCGCCCCGGTGCCTGCTGCAGCGCCCATGGCCTGGTCTCCAGAACGAACGACCAGCTGGTGAGTGTTATGCAATCACTTGCTTCTGGAACACCAGGCTCTGGCCAGAGCCGGGTCTCACATGCCCCCTCCCTGACGGCACACAGCAGCCCTTTTCTAACACTCGGAAGGGCTCAGCGTGCACTTACTTGCTCGGGAGAGCAGAGTTCTTTATGAACCTGCTGTCAGAGTGAACAATGGCCTGACACTATTTTGGGGGTGCTTTTTGAATTAATAAGGTTTTTCGGCTCATGAATTCAGTTGTCGTGAATCAACATGACAAGGGAAGGGGAGAAGGAGAATAGCAGGGTTGTGAGTTTGAACACTGATTTTTTTGAGTTTTTTTTAATTAATTGATTTTTAGAGATAGAGAGAGGAATGGGGGGGGAATATCCACTAATTTTCCACTTATTCATACTGGGCTGGCCAAAATGTCTGTTACATTTTTTCTGTCTAATGGCTCCAGCAGTGCTCAGTGTATTTGTTAGATTGCATTGTGACAACTGTCATATCAGTGTGCATTTTTTAAAAACATACCAAAATTGGTGAATTTTGTGTAGCCATTTTAATATTGAAGATGGAAGAAGATGCGCAACGTCTTCAGCATATTGTGCTTTATTATTTCAAGAAAGGTAAAAACGCAACTGGAATATAAGAAGAGGTTGTACAGTGCATGGAGAAGGTGCTGTGACTGATCAAACGTGTCAAAAGTGGTTTGTGAAGTTTCTTGCTACTATTGACATTTTGGCCAAGTAATTCTTTGCTGTGGGGCTGTCTTACGCATGGGAAGGTGTTTAGCAGCGCCCCTGGCCTCTGCCCACTGGAAGCCAATAGCCGGGGTGGGGGGCAGGTAGCCAACATGCTCAAAATATCCAAATCAATGAAGTTATTGGTGAAAATGAAAAACACGTCTTTTATTTTACGGAAAAAACCATACAGACTTTTTGGCCAACCCAATACATTCACTGGTTGATTCTTATCCCGGACTGGGGAATCGAACTCACAATCTTGGTGTCTTGGGACAACAGTCTAGTTAACTGAACTACTCGACAAGAGCACTAACGCTGATTTTTAAAAACTAAGAAGATCCAGAAAACTTACGCAAAGATCACTAAAACATTACTTTGTAACTATTCTATAGTTTTTAGTAAACCTCTCTTCCTAATCTTAGTGAAATTCACGTCCCCCAGTCTCTGTTATTCAACCACAGCAGGAACTGCCGCTGGCTCGCTGCCGCACCGCCAGGGCCTGGAGTGCTGCCTGGCCCACAGCAGGCACTCAGTAAGCTCCCCCAATCAGATAGGAAGTTCCCTTTGACAATAGGTTGAGACATGAAGGGTAGGAGCCTGCCTTCCCATCTCCAAGGTCTCTATAGAAAAAGAGTTGATCCACATCGTAGAGAAGGCAAAAAATTTAATTCTCACTGAAAGACATGTTTATTGATTTTTCAGAGTCAGAGGATGGGGGTGTGGGTGGGGGAGAGAGAAACACTGATGCGAGAGGAACACTCATCAGTTGCCTCCCATACACACGGCAACCGAGGATCAAACCCACAACCTAGACATGTGCCCTGACCAGGAATCGAATCCCCAGTCTTCGGGTGTATGGGACAATGCTCCAACCAACTGAGCCACCTGGCCAGGGCAAAAAAAATAAAATCATTTAAAAAACAGTAGTGTATGACCTGGCTGGTGTTCTCAGTGGATTGAATGCTGGCCTTCAAACTGAAAGGTCACCGGTTTGATTCCCAGTCAGGGCACATGCCTGGGCTGTGGGCCAGGTCCCCCACCTGGGGGGGGTGTGAAAGGCGACGGATAGATGTATCTCTCACACACCGATGTTTTTCTCCCTCTCTTTCTCCCTCCCTTCTCCTTTCTCTAAAAATAAATAAATCTTTAAAAAATGTTAGTGTGAGCATCAGGTGCCTGCACACACCTATGGGACATTTGTCAGAACTCACTCAAACCCAGACATCACGGACATGCCTCGTTAAAGCCTGCCTTTCCCCACGAGGTGGTGCTGCAGGGTACTGGGGTGAGTTTTCCCCCCACTGTAAATTTTTTGGGAAAAGAATTCACTCTAGAAGAAAATAAAGAGCGAGCCCTGACTGGTATGGCTCATTTGGCTGGGTATCGTCCCACAAAGCGAAAGGTCACCAGTCTGATTCCAGGGCAGAGCACATGCCTGGGTTGAGGGTTCAGTCCCTGACCGGTCCCCAGTCGGGAAACGCACAAGAGCACCCACAAGAAAAAGGCAGTACTGACTCTGACCCCCTGCTGATCCTCATTTTGGACATAGAACACTGATTCTCAAACCGCAGGTTGTGACCTACCAGTGGGCTACAAAA